ATTATTTATATTATAAATTATTAATATTTATAGTAATATTTACTAATTTATTTAGGTTTTTTAATTTAGGTCTAATATTTATTATTATATCCTTAACTTCTAATTTTAGTCCTAAATATACCTATATTATATAAGCTTCTTTACCTTAGTTTAGCTTAGCTACTTAATAGTAGTATTTAGCTAGATAGTCTATAATAGATCTTCTCTATTAAAGTTATTAGATCTTTATTTTTATAATATATTTTTTATTTATTACTTTAAAAGTATTTTTAAGTTTTAACTTAAAATTTTTATATTTCTTATAAATATATTTTATTATTTTTTATTATTCTTTATATAATTTATTAATATAATCTTAAATAATAGGTTTTATTAATTATAATACTTTATTTTTAAAGAATTTTATATTATATTAAACTCTTAATTTATTAATAATAAACTAAATAAGGTAATATATCTAGTAGCCCTAAAGGCTAGTAAGGAATTCTTAGTATTTATTAGTATTATTATTAAATAGCTTAGGTTAATAAGGTTAAAGGATTACTATAAGGGCTATAGTATATTTAATATACTCCTTATAAAGTTTCTAATTATTTTTTACTTCCTTTTTAAATACCTTTATAATCTTAATAAGGTTAGCTACCTTCTTTTCTAGGTTTTTAATCTTATTCTTAGCTATATTAGAGTTATTCTTTATATTCTCTAGGAAATTATTATATTACTAGCTAAGCTATTTAAGTTTATATTTAAGTTTTATAACTTCCCCTTTATAAATATTTAAGTAAGTAAGGGTAATATCTTTTTTATTTTTAATATTAGTTTTTATAAAAATATCTTCTAGGTTAGGAGATATCTCTTATTATAGGTAGTGCTAGGTATATCTTAAGTTAGAAAGCTAATTAAAAGTAATAAGTACTATTATATTAGTATTACTTAGTATTATATAATATAATCTAAATAAGAGCTATTAATATATAATAGTTAGGTTTTTAAATAAGTAAATTACTTTATATTAGGTTTATATTTATAAATTATATAAGGCATAATATTAAGTATTATAAGGTATTATATCTCTTAATAATTAAATAATATATATTAAGCTTATTAATATAAAGATACTTTATTAATAACTAGTAAGCTAAGTTTTATAAAAGTACTAATAAATATATTCTATATATTAGTAGTAGTTATATAGGAGTGATATAATATAAGGTTATTATCGGTCCTGGAATAATGCGGTCCTAGAGCGCTGTTATTTCTATACTTATTAGTCTTTATCTGGTTGGTTATTAAGGTGGAGTTTTTGTAGGGTATATGTAACGTAATGACTGAGATTGTAATACTTATAATAATAAGTAAATAAGTAATTAAGTTATTTAATATATCTTTATTATTAGAAGAGGCAGTTATAAGAGTATAGTAAAGAAATGCTTTATTATAATATTAAAACTATAGATAATTTAAAGGTAGTAGATAATACTAAGTTATTTATTATTATTAAGGCTTAATTAGTAAGAGCTTTTAATATTATTAATTAAAGTAAGATTTTCTTTATTAATATTATTAGTAAAAGTTCTTTAAGAGTTATTAGGCATTAATAAGGTATTTTAGTAGTTTTTATATATTTTTATTTTTAAAATAGTTTTTTTATTTTACTAAATACTATCTTTTATTATTTTCTTTATATATATCTTTAATTACTTTTACTTTATAGACTTTTAGTTTTATAATTTCTTATAGTTTATTGCTTATTTTAATTTATATTATATTAGCTACTAATTTAAGTAATAAAATATAAAAGACTAAATAAAGCTTAACTTTTAGTAATAGGTCTAGTTTATAATTGTTTTCTAAAATTTTCTTAGTAATTTTATATAATCTAATATATTTATAGTCTAGTTTATAGCTTAATCTATTTATTTTAATATTATTTATAGCTAGGTAAACTATATCTCCTTTTAAAAAGGTTAGTCTTTTTAACTATTTTAGGTTATAGTAGTTTTTTATATATTTTCTAATAAATTTAAGTTCTATTTTTATTTCTTAATATAGAATTTTAAGGTTATTACTTTTAAATATAATAGCTATGTTAATTAACTTTTCTTATTATATAGTATAATAAGTATTTAATATATATTTAAAGTTTATATAGGCTAGTATATAATTAATACTTTTATTATATATAATATTATATATAAATTAAATTACTAGTAGTTTCTTAACCTAATTATTTTATTTATAATTAATATAATATTATAAATACTATTTAAATACTTAATTTATTTATTTAGTTTATTTATTAGCTTATAATTAAAATATAGTTATAAGTTAGTAATTTAGTTTAAGTTATATTATAACTAATTACTAAAAGTTTAATATAAATATAAGTCTTTTATTAAAAAGAATTTATATAAGTAACTTATATATATTAATAATATATTAATTAAAGATATAAGAAAGTTCTTTTATATTTATAGCTTCTTTGTAAGGTAAATAGTAAGAGAACTTTATAAATTAATTAATTATAATTATAATACTATTATAAAAGATTCCTATTAAGGGTTCTTTTAATAAGGGTAACTTAATTATAAAATCTATTATAATTAAACTTTATAATCCTCTTATTACTAGTAGTAGTTATAGTTATTTATAGGGTTTATATCTTTATACTTTTATTCTTAAATAGAGGTTATATTATTAAATAACTTTTTTTACTATTTCCTTTATTCCCTTTATATTATATTTTCCTTATATTCTTTTTAGTATTTTTATAATACCTTAGTAGCTATATAGCAGATATTTATATATATCTTATACTAATTCTTCTTTAAGCTTATCTAGGATAAAAGGTATATATAATACTCTTTTTTTATTACTAAAAGTTATTTCTTATAGGTTATAAGGTTCTTTAGCTTTAGCTTCTTTTATTTATTCTTTAAAGTTCTTATTTTTTTATATTTAAATAATAGTTTTAATTAGCTTATATTTCTTATAATTAGCTATTAGATTTTAAATATAGCTTTCTAAGTTTATACTATTATAGATTTTATTTATAGTCTTTTATATTTTAATATAATCTTTATTATATAGTATTTAATTATAGTAATAGTTAAAGATTTTTATTATATATTTACTAAGAATCTTAATTTTTCTATTAAAGTAAGTTATATTACTTTATTAGTTATAATATAATCCTCTAAGCTAATTAATAAAGTCTTATTTTCTATTTTAATATAATAGTTTTTAATATTTTAATAAGGGTTTTAGTTTTTTAGCTATCTTTATAATTATTCTTATTAGTTAAGTAAATTAGTATTTTCTTTTATTATTAAATTCTAAGAGTTATTCTTTTATTTTAATAGTATTAGTATTTAGATTTAATTTTTAACTAATAGTATTTATATATCTATTATCTATTTCCTTATAGTATATAATAATAAAATTAAATTTATATAAGTATTTAGTATAATATAATTAATATTAATTTAGTTCTTATATAATAGTAAAATAGGTAATATTTTTATAGTTAATAAAGACCCTAATAAGGTATTTATTTCCCCTTAGGTAATACCTAAATTCCTTAAAATAATTAATAATTACTTGGAATTCTTTATTATAGATAAAGTAATTAATTTCTGCTCTATATATCTTATATAAATAGAAGATAATTAAATATAATATTCTATTATTATCTTATTATCTAATATAATCTAAGATTATAACTAGGCTAGTTTATATATTATTTATATATAATAAGGAAGATATAATATACCTATTTAGCCTTAATAATTATATTAATAAACTATTCTTTATACTAGGCTAAGTTACTTATAAAAAAGTAAGAAAAGCTACTTCTTTTACTTTTAAAGGTTAATTTTACCTAAAGGCTTTTTTTAACTTCTTTAATTTAAATAGCTCTTAGCTTAGTTAAGCTAGAGATATTATATCTCTTAAGTAATTTATATTTATATAATTAATTAACTTAATTAAGTAATATTTAAAAATAGTTATTTTAATTAGGCTTAATTTATCTCTTAATACGAAGTTTATTTTAATAGTTTTAGCTATTATATATAATATATAATAATTTTTACTCTTAGCTTATTATAAGGCTAATTTAATTATATTAATAAGATTATAATTAATTATATAATAGCTCTAATTAGGCTATAAACTATTATATCTAATAGGTATTATAATAATAGCTATAATTAATATTAATAAGTATAATTAATAGGTATAAAAGTTGGATTAGGTAATATACTTTATAGTTAATAAATAGGGCATAGTATTTCTTTAGGTAAGTTAAAGAAAGAACATTAACCTAGCTACTACAAGGTAAACTTATAGCTAGTATTAATATTACTTAGTTAAGGTAGTAATTATATTATTAAAGTAAATAAACCTTATTTAATTTTAACTTTTATAATAGTAGCCTATTATAAAGGTCTTTTTACTTAAACTATTAATAGAAAAGTTAAAAAGCTTAATAGCAATATATAAGGCTAAAGGTAAAGAAAGAAATAAAATAAAAAATATAAAAAATATTATTTATTAATTTTATATTTCCGTTTAATATTATATTTAAGCTTATATAAAAGGTATAATTAATAAAGTTATTTAAATATCTATTTATAATAAAAATCATTACTATTAACTTTAATAAGTTTATAAATATTAAATATTTTACTTTATAATTTTTATAAGTATTAAAAGTTTATAAGGATTATTTAGCTGGAGATATAATTAGCTTTAAGGAGCTATAAGAGATGGCCTAGAGATGCCTAGAGATATTAGATAATAGAGAATAGGAAGAGAGAAATTGGGTTGGGAAACTGTGAGACTATGAGCACCTAGTTGATAGATTGAGGACTTGCTCTCCTAGCGACGACTCAGGTTTTGTCGCAGAGGTTTGTGTAGGCAGGCAAAGCAGCCGGCAATAGGAGAAGTTGGGGATAGTTGTTGACTCCCAGTGCCTTGATAATATTTTTCTAGGTTTATCAAAGCGGAAGATAACTCCAGAGGCTGCCTTGTATGGTAATGGAACCGTGAGAATTCCGTGAGGCAGTCGATTGCAACGTTGATGCATCCACTTCATATGCTTCATCCTCAGCCTGCGAGCTGTCAACAATGTAATCCTGGGACAATACAGGTACGGATCCTGTTGTTTGTATGTCCTTCCTACCCCCAACATAATTCCATGCGACAGACAGAAACTGAAGGTCATGCTTGGCTGGACAATGTGCGTGAAGCTGAACACCAAGATCGGCGCCTCTGATGTCCGTTTCTCCCAAGGGAGGATACGGGTACATTGGGGGAAATTCTCGGCGTAGTTCTTGGGTCAGAAACATCAGTCGGCAATCATCAGCTCGTGAGATAGAAGTTGCGTCGTGATGTATCGGAGACACCGGCTCCTGGATGAAGGACAAAAGGGTACCAGTCCAGGCAGCTGCGTGAAGGCCAATCCTATTCAGACCAAGGAGACTGGAGGTGCTCCGTAAAAAGTCCTTGTGCGCGCCTGTGATGATCCCTCCAAGCCAGAGATACGAAGTATGGGGACTCCGATCAAAGAACATGCGAGCCAAGTGGTGTAGGTTCTCAGGTCATTTCAATTGCAGCATGGCCATTGTGCTTTGCAGCCATGCACCGCAGGCGTTGGCTGGTATGCTAGACTCATAAAAGAAATGCTGCCCAGGACGGTTTTCATACCGCGAGCGTTGGCGCTTAGGGTCAGGAGTCTATCAAACTGGCGTAGGCAGCGTTTTTCGAAAAGTGAGGGCCTAGGTGTTTCTATGTGTCCCGATTGCCTGCATAGTCCTCGGGGTGCATGAAGTATAATTTTTCTGTTGTCCAGCTTGGCCAAGGGGAGAAGTAGTGCGGCGGCCAGTGCCGCCCGACTGTGTGCTGGCGTTGTGGAGTATGGAATACTCATCAATGTACTTCAACGCCGTTTCAAAGGATGCCGGGATCGGTGAAGGAGAATTCATAAGGCTTGGGGAACCACTTAGAAAGACGTTAATAATATTGAACTCCTTTTTGACACTCCAAGGCGAAAGAAGTCGCCATCGCTCATGGGGTATGGCCGCTTTCCAACCCTCCCCCGGCGCAAGTATGGCTGCCCACCATCGAGCTGACTCACCAGTCAGCTTTCCCAGCTCAACCACAATACGCTCGCCACCTTCGGTAAGTTTGCTGAAGTCTGAATGGACTATCCAAGGAGCTAGACTCATGGTGTATTCCATCGGAGATGCTCGGGGGATGATCTCCGCCCACCGTGCGGATAAGGCGTATGCCCAAGCGAGTATTAGAACCACAAGATGGCTGTCGTCCTTTCCAAACCACTCGAACCTTTGCACAAATCATCCACATGCCACCAGTTGACCCCCGATTCAACCCGCTCGGTCGCGACAAGAAAAATAGCCAAGCGAGCTCCAGAGAGGCGGGCAAAGTATTTAGACGATGAAGATAACTTCCTTATACAACTGAAGGAAAAAGAGCAGCTTGGGTGGGCGGAGATTTATTGGCGTTTTATTTAACGTTTCCCTGAATGAGGCGGCTCGGGTCTGTAAGTGCACTACTGTATGAAACTCAGGGATCGTGGGAGAACTTAATATCATCATGCTCTTCTTGGTCAGGGGACTTTGAGATAGGTAGGATATACCTTAAATGAGCTAAGGAGTGCTGCAATATATATTGTTCCTTTATGCCCCTGGTCATATGCGTACACGATTGCTTGGAGTTGTTAGCTGAGTGATCTGGAGGCAATGTATGCCTCGGTTCTATACCTGAGATTGTAGTCCGTAGCTTGATGCTTATAGTAGATGCTACTTCGTTTGGTCCAATAGGATATCGATGGAATGTGATGTAAGCACCCTGATGAACTGCTCCGTCCCAGCAAGGTCTTGTACAGGTACCCGTATGCGGATGGGCCCAGCTATCGACTGCTTCAAAGACCAATATCTTGTCTTGGAGATTGGGTCCTCTGCTTCGAGAAGAATTGCAGACGCTCTCCATCTCGTAGAAGTATTAGACGCGCGCCTTCCTACGTGGATAAAAATGGTCGAGTCGGAACAACCGCTCTCCGCTCGTGACCGAAATGGGCGTCCCGGACGTCCAGGAAATAAGAGCCATCCGACAAACAAAGATTTATTTATCCGCAGCCGTTAGCCTCTGACTCAACAGAAAATAAAGCATTAACCAAACGAAGTGTCGGGACTGATATCATTAGTCCAGAACTGGACGTGCCTTTTGACAGACGATTCTAGACGTTGTTACCTCGATGCAGTATAACCAGTGCACCAACGGCCAATTAAGGAATGAATCCTCGTTAGTCTGCCACCCCTGCCAAGTTCCTAACGGGAACCTGTCACCACTATGTTTCTCACTGGTGGTGTTCTTACAATATCTCCACCAGGCAGTTAACATTACTCATGTCACCCAGAAAGGTTGGACTCATCGGTTCCATTCATCCCACCCTCTACGCCACCAATAGCAGCTGGGGCATGACAGTAACCTTCCGCAAGCACCTTGAAAGCGTTAACTCATATTTGCCTGCAGCCTACAGGGCATATTCCTTTCTGTTCTATCTACAATTCGTAGAAAGCGAGAGTAGGTACGATGAGAAACCGACTGCCAATATTCTTAGCTATGAGACCCCGCCTCAGCAGCCTTATCACGAGTCGTGGGTGCTTCAGGAATTTGCCGGCAAGGCTACTTACACAATATACGGGTGCGGCTGTTACCTCGTGGCATACTGCATATCCGTCGCCGAGAGACACACAGCCCGAGTCGCTTACGCAGAAACAAGTGCTTGCGAAACTTAGGGGCGACAATGAGCTGCAAGGAACAAATTTCCTTCTTATCGACCTGCGCAGCAATGGTCACGAGGTCAGTTCTGACCCCTCTGCTTTCTCTGCCCCTGTATTTTACCGCCATGCTTGGATCGAGCACGAGCCGTTGATTGACAGTGCTGATGAGAATTTGGCAGGGAGGAACAATTCGTGGATCTATCAATCTACCAGCGCAGAGCCTGTATCCGGCCATTCCAACTCTGTATACTGTCTGCAAGGCAGCTGGCATCCACACCATTATCTGGTACTGCGGTAAGCTGACAGAACAGCCTGGCCACAGACCGATTGCTAAGCGTTCCCGTAGGATCTTCTCAGGGACGCGGACCCCGAGCCGCCGGCTGGTTCAGAGACTATCTTGCCAGCCAGGGCGATAAAGAGACGCGAAGCGTCATTCTGCGAGGCGGCATTAAGGGCTGGGCGACAGCTGGCCGCGAGTACACAGAGTGGATCGACGAGTATGACGCCAGCAAGTGGAGCAATTAGGCGGTGACACAGGTGTGAAGATGGTACCTTGAGTTTGGTTTGGAGTCACTTGGCATGGTGAGCTGAAACCTGAGGCTACGGACCTGGCTCGGTCTTTCCAGCCAATCATGATCAGGGCATGACAGATATCCTTGTGTGGGAGTCGGGAGTCAGACATCAACCCCACTTCCGACATTCCCACGTGCAACTTCCGGCGATGTTCGTGTGGCAGGGTGGAGTTGGACAGATGTTCAACGCCTCCAACACCAAACCTGAGCATTCTCCGTTCTGTCAAACTACGCTCGACATTACGTGAGCCTACTTTTCAAATCTTGAACATCATCTTAGCATTATCCATGCCTAGAAAGGTATGCTATGCCGATTTGCGCTGATTAATAACCTCTAACTTGCTCGCGCACATAGAACCGGATCCCGGCCAATGCGATTCAGAATCGCGATAACCAGCGTCGCTCACGTGCGCGGCGTCGGCAATTTATTGAAGAGCTTCAACAGCGGCTCCAGGATTACGAACGTCGGGGCGTTCAGGCCAGTATTGAGATGCAGCGGGTGGCTCAGGCCGTCGTATGGGAGAATAAAAGTCTCCGTGGCCTACTCCATCTCCGAGGGGTTTCGCAATACGATATTGATGATCACCTCTCGCTGGTGGGGTCTGTCGGCACTGAGCCAAATCTAGACCTTCGGAATTCTCTGCAGAGAGGCAGTGATCCACCTTCACCTTGCGGACAACGATATAGTGCGATGGAGCAGCCATCTACCGACACGTTACACACAATCGCGACCTATCCTCAGGACATAGACGATATTCCTTCGCCTCCAAGCACACCCCTCTTGAATCCCCCTTCGTCTATACCAAGTTGCGGACTGGCAACTTCAGCTCCTGCTAGGTCTACTCCGTCAGCAGATATGGCAGAGACAGATTGCGTCGCCACCAATAACCGCGACCACGAGAAGGGTGGTTCCTACGATTCATACACCGCTCAACTCCCAGATCGTACGAGCATCTCGTTCATTTGCAATGACAACTTCCCTGATCCGGGTAGCCGTACAGACATACTCCCACCAGTAACGGACTGCTTTTGCCCACCTGACTCGCCCATTTCCATCTCAGGCCACTGGAACAGAGGACTGTCTTGCAAGACGGCAATTGATATTATTGCCGGGCTGCAGATCAATGTAGATTCGGACCAGGTCCGTGGTTTGTTGCACTGTAAAGAATCAGATGACTGTCTTGTTCAAAATTCCAGCGTGTTCCAAATATTGGATAAGATGGCTTAATTAAATCGTTGTTCCTCTGTCAGAAGCAGGTCGAAACTGAAGTTGGAAACACCCTGTGCTTAGATGCGAAGCGATGCAGAGAGGGTGATTCCGTGTCATCTATAAGCAAGCATAGCCCTGATATCGTTCAATCGTTGTACTATAGCTTCATAGAGCCAAACATGACATCCCAGTTGTGTTCATGGGTTCGGAGTAAAAGGTAATAATCACATAATTCTATTTTGTTTATCTCAAGTCTAAACACAACAAGCCCGGTCCATTTTTGTACAATCCAATCTATTGGATACGAATCCACCGTGTAACCCTACAAGTTTATCTGTGCAAACAGTCCTGCATAAGCCTTGATATAAGCTACCAGGTATGAATGGCCATTATACGTTCCACGACCATCTTTTCCGTGCCCATCGCATGAGATATACCAGACCGAGTAGAACGGGCACTTCAATAAGTGGTCCAACAGTTGCTGCGAGTGCTTGGTCGCTATCGGGGCCAAAGGTAGCAACTGCAATGGCGATAGCCAATTCGAAGTTATTACTTGAAGCGGTAAAGCTTTGCGTTACAGTGAGGGGATAACTGAAGCCCATACGATGAGCGATAAAAAGGGTAACGAAAAAGATGGAAATAAAGTAAACCACGAGCGGGGCAGCGACGCGGACGACCGAGACGATTTGGTGTACCACCTGACGTCCTTGCGATGCAAAAAGGACAAGAATGGTATATAGTAGACCTATCAGAGACCAAGGGGCCACAAACCGGAGGAAGACGCGTTCGTACCACTCGGGCCCAGCCGTCATGCGCAGTGTAAAGCGGGTGACGATCGCGGCAGCAAGTGGAATTCCAAGGAAAACCGCGACGCTCGTAGCAACCACCTCGTATGAAACATCGTTGATGCCAGTCTCATGACTGATAACTCGAATGAAGAACACGGCGAGAGGTGCGGTAATGACCATTTGGAGCATGGAGTTAATCGCAACAAGTATAGCGCAGTATTCGTTATCGCCGCCGGCCAGGCCATTCCAAATAAGAACCTAAACCTGAATATCAGTTCCTACGTTCTTATATTTTCAAAGAGTGCACAGCCCGTATACATACCATGGCAATACATCTCCCAAGACCAACCAGAATTAGACCAATACGCAATTCGCTCTTGTCAGGGAGAAAGGCCCAAGCGAGACCGAGCTGGTTAAGTGTTAGTTAGAATAAGCCCAGGATGGACATCAAAAGGGGTTAAAAGGCGGGCCTACCATGAGGAAAGGTGCTACCACCCAGTTGATGACGATGCTGAACATGATCTGCTTCCACATCTCGCGGTGCGCTAGAAGCTTGTGCAGTGACTCGTATCGGACTTTGCATAGAATTGGGTACATCATAACGAGGAGGCCGATGGCTACAGGTAAATGTTGTTAGCGTTCGAACCACTGACCACGGACAACGCACGCGCTTACTCACCAATTGGCACTGACACACCAACAAATTTGCCTTTCTGTAACGCCGGTCCCGTTGAGGGTACAAAATTGCCTAGGATAATGCCAACTGTCATGGCCAGGAGGATCCATAGAGCGAGAAATCGATCAAGCCATCCAAGGGCCTTGAATGCGGATACTGACTCTACTTTATCCTTGGTCTGGCTCTCCAAGTCGGGGTTGGGCGTCCCGACGCTAAGCTCCTCCGTAGGGGACAGGGCATGCTCATTTTTTGGTTCCGCTGACATGATCTCGAATCGATTCGATGTTATTATGGTATCTGTTGCTGGACAAATGGTCGTAGGTAGAATATGATCTGCCTGTTTCGCTCCCAATGAAAGGAGGGCTGGTGATTTAAGAGCCACATGTTAGTCCCTGTCTTACGGCCTCCACCAAGCCCGAGGTTGTGGAATTCGGTCGCCACGTTGGAGTCTGCCAATCACAAGTAGGACATGACACACAACCCCTACTGTCTTAGCCTCTCGTCGCATGAAATGACTAGGCGGTAAAACCCGGATGGGTAAGGATCCTTTTTCTCCACTACGGTGATTCTTACCCAATCATGTCCGGGGCATGACGGGCACTGCTAACGCAAATCAAATCAATGCCTCCGCATCAGGACAGCTCCCATATCATGGACGAGTATTCCAATAGCACGAAGGAGCTAGGACGTGAGTGTTACCGACTGGGGTGGTATCCAATCATAGGCGGGGCATGACAGGCTCTCCAGGTAAGTCGATGCCACTGAACCCCACTCCGTGACCAGATCTCCGACAGGACGAAACGGTAAGTGGTAGCAAGGCAATTCCGCGATGGTCTGGGCGACCCTGCCCAGCCATTGAAAAGCTGACAGTTTCCTACAAACAAAAGTGCGAGCCATAGACATTTGCCATACCTGTCAAGGCTCCAAAACCTGTTCGTTATACTTGAAAGGTTACTCGGCACCTTCCACTACCATAACAATGGCTGCACCATGGCATGCGGCATATCCGGCTCCAGAACATCAACCGGAAAGCCTGACGCGTGAAGAAGTCCTCAAGTCGATGAAGGAAGTTAGCAGCGATGCCAAACAGGACTTTGTTCTCATTGATTTGCGACGCAATGACCATGAGGTGAGTCTGGCCTTGCTACCCTTCGGTATCTATCGCGTACGGTTACAATGCCGCTGACTTGCGCAATTCTCAGGGGGGAACGATTCGTGGCTCCATCAACCTGCCTGCCCAAAGCTTATATCCCACAATCCCCAAGCTTTACGGTGTGTTCAAGGCCGCGGGTTTGCGCAAAATAATTTGGTATTGCTGTAAGTAGGGGCTGCCTCTTGATCGTCTTGGAAGGCCGACTTGGCTTTGGCTGTCTTCACTTCAAGTTAGTAAAGAGAGGGTTCTGATTGTGTTTCACAGCTTCGTCACGTGGGCGCGGTACGCGAGCTGCTGGTTGGTTCGGTGACTACATCGCCAATCGCGGCGACAGCGAGATGAAAAGCTTGGTTTTGCTGGAAGGAATCAAGGGCTGGGCAACGGCGGGCGGCGAATTTGTGGAGTGGATGGACGAATATGAACCCGCCGTCTGGTCTGTTGAATGACCTAGTACGGAATGCCATATTGTTAATTCATTTATCTGTTATTCTGCTAGTTACGTAGGATTCGTGTGTGTGTGCATACCCATGGTATGGCTTTCGTGAGCGACCAGGGCTGCAAAGTAGGTAAGATGCAGTGTCGCATTGTGGTCCGCTGGATGTGGGTAGCCGATAGGAACTAAATGATCCTTGTAGCCACTAACTGCACCGAGCGGGAGCAAAGGTGTCGGAGCTTCCGGTTCAAAGATTTACTATAAGGAGGTGTAGACACCACGTCTCTCCCTAACCGGAGCCAATGTCTCGCCAGGCATGCATGTTAGCAAAACCAGCTTCCCGGGTCTTCTATTCTCTCTCGGCCTCGGTATTTCAAAATTCTCTTTTTAGTCTTCTGCGATCACCGTCCCGGTATTTCCACACCTCCAATACGATGAATGGTCACGGCGATCTTAACAATTCTTTTGCCTCACGACCACGTGTAGAGCTTGCACCGGAACCTGGATATACTCGTCAGTCATTCGCTATTTCCGCAGAGAACGATGATCTAGGCGTGCGTAAGCGCTACCGGCCGTTTCTGTTGGACGAGACAGACGAAGCTGTCGACTGGGTCGCGGAGTTGGAATTGAGTACAACGCTGAAACTGGTCGAGTCCAAGATCATCAATCTAGGCCAGGATAGATTACGCATTCTCGTCTTATATGGCAGTATGAGGAGCCGGTTAGTTCACAATGATTTGTTTCCCTTGGAATCTTTTTCTTCTTTTCTCTTGTATTTCTTTTTGCGACTGTGACTTGAAAGCCGACGTTTGAACCCTGCACTAAACGTGCTTCAATAGATCTTATTCCCGCCTACTTGCCTATGAGTGCTCTAGGATCCTCTTCCGTCTCGGCTGCGATGTTCGCGTCTATGATCCTACCGGCCTTCCGCAGAAAGATGACCTACAACACACACACGACAAGGTACAGGAACTGAGGGAGCTAAGCAGATGGAGTGACGGCCATGTCTGGGTCAGCCCAGAGCAGCATGGAAATTTGGTAAGATGCTGTTTGCTAACGACGCAATACCACAGTACTAACATGGGCTCCAAGACGGGCATCTTTAAGCAGCAAATTGACTGGATACCGCTATCAGCAGGCGCTGTTCGCCCAACACAAGGGCGAACCCTCGCAGTTGCCCAGGTAAGCGGCGGATCGCAATCCTTCAATGCTGTCAACTCTCTACGGATCTTGGGCCGATGGATGCGAATGTTTACCATTCCCAACCAAAGCTCCGTCCCGAAGGCCTTCACACAATTCACCGCAGAAGATGAAGGCAGTCGCATGCTGCCCAGCTCCAATCGTGACCGCGTTGTGGACTGCATGGAAGAGCTTGTCAAGTACACTATCATCATGCGGCCGCATTTCGACCTATTCGGTGATCGCTTTAGTGAACGTGAGGAACGGAAAGCCAAGTTAGAGGCTAAGTGGGGCCCTGAGAAGACGAACTGAATAGTTACGAGCTCTCAGCACAAGATATATTATGTAAAGACGCCAATGGGCACGACGAACGAGTGGCTTTGACAAGCGAATAGATCAACGAGTTGCACCTAGACGGATAATCATGCTTATAGAGCCATCAAAAAATTAAATGCCACTAAATCGCAATCGCAATGACTTTCCTCAGGGGTTTCCTTATCTGCTTAACATATGTGTGTTATATCCTGCTATACCGCACCTTCCGCATTGTCTTCTTCCCTAAACCACCACCTTGCCGCGTTCTCTCCTTTTCTGCGCCTGGAGACCTTTGGCGATCGACCTAGGGTTGGGGTTAGGGTTAACATATCAAAAGACAGGCGATGGAGCACGCAGCTTTACGTCTAGCCCTGATAGAATGTGTTCAACAATCATTCATAAAAGGCCAAATTTGAGGTGACAGCAGAAGCCCAGGATTTAATTAGTATAGTTCAGTCTTTTCTCCAGGCATCCCCACCCAGGAAGGCTTTAACGTTGTGGTCCTTGTGAGAGAAAAGTAGAGACGGTATGTATCCCCTGTCTAAGTTTTTACAAGGAGAGTGATACGACGAAGGAAAGTAATGACGCATTAAAATATCTATTCTTTAGAGAAATTACCAATCTCTAGAGCACCATTACACCTCACATACTAACGAAGGCGGTGGCTCAAGTCCTGCATATGGGTAGGGCTTCTCCGGGCTTGGCCCTATTCAATGCGAATTAACGGGGTGATCTGAAGGAGAAAGTGGCCGCAATGGATGTAAAGAATATGGCTTAAATGCGTCTGATAGATGGTGTATTTAGGTCTCAGCTACCAAATACTACAAGTTATGCCTTGTTGGACAAGTCTGTGGTGCCCGCAGAAATGGTGCAATATGGCATCTCCCCAACACGTCAATGTTGAGGCATTACACTTGTCAGGACTTCGGATCAGGTGTCGCTGATGAATGCCAGAAGACTAAATAGTATATCCGTATTAACGCGGCATCCCTCACCCGGTTGAAGTGACCTGCGAAAGCCATGCCATAGCCAGGTGGCCACGTCTCCCTGGTTCATACCTCTGAAGTTCTGCTGTGCGATGAGAATATATGCCTCGGAGCAAAGCATTGTGAGCTCGCCGTAAGGGTTTTCTTGATGGTAGGGTTCCATCACTGGCTGGAACACGTATTCAGGCATTAGGAGAGGGGTCTCCTGACTCGGAACGAGGGCCATTCCATTTGTTGGGTTGACGGTCGGTTGTGAAACCGATGAGGATTCATTGGAGCAACAGGGTGTCATTGGGGTCATGATAGAGTCCTGTATGACTGTTGCGGGTAGCAAACTTCTAGCATCTGCAACGGCCTGGTTTGGGGCAGATTCAGTTACCAGCAGAGACTCGGGTATGAATTCAGATGACTGAGCCGTGAGGATAAGCGCCTGAGAGCCTCTAGTGGGTGGAGAGATGAGGGCGTTGACTTCCGATCCAGATTGGTCATCGGAAACCATTGGCTCGGCGGAAGCCGGGGCGGGCAGTTCCCAAGCGCCAAGATCTTCTGTGTCAGAGAGCGAACCGTATGCCTGAACCGCTTCGCCATGAGTGTTGGTGAGAGGTAGCGGCGATGTGTCATGCTGACTTTGAGATTGTTGCGGCTGCAGCGTACGATAATCCGCCTCATTTTGGTCATGCGACTGGTGGCAGCATCGAGCCAACGCCGCTTGAAGAGTTTCCACCTGATCTCTGAGGGTCGAAATAGTCTGTTCTGCTTCGCCGAGCTTTTGTTCCAGCGTTGCGATATGGTCTTTCCGACGAGCACGATGCCGACGCTGATTCCTGCGAACCCGCTCCAGCGTGTGCTGGGCTGAAACCCGTTTGGTCCTGCGTCGTGGCGTCGAAGGTGATCCCGGAGCCATGGTGAGTCGATATCATCGATATGTCACCGATGGCATCCAAGCTTCAGCCTGTTCCATTTATCTCTGGTCTAAAATGGTGACACATCGATATCGCGTTTTAGTCAGCATTTACCCCCGTCCTTCTCGGCTAATGGCTACAAACGACCTATAATTGGACGCCACTTCTTAACACTCTGACCGGAATACGTAATTGTATCAGACCATTGTGTGCGGCAAGTGTTGCCAATGCCGAAAAGGTGGATGAAGATGTCTCCAATACACGAGGCTGGATGGAAGCGCAAGTCGAACCGCCCCTCTAGGGCGAGCCTCCAGTCAGTCTCTCCGATCAGATGATTATGCCGATATTTTGATTGTCCAGGATACCACTTGAATGTTTTAAATGATGACATATCGACGCGCTCGCAAGGACTATATATGTACGTGTACATTCGCGAACGGGGTAGGTCCATCATCCCACCACGACGCATTTATTTACCAGTCAAGCCTGGTCTTTTTTATCATAAACTTACATTTGATACTCTCAATGGAGCCTAAGGAGATCTACGACCAAGTTAATAAGCGGTACGGCTCAATCGCCAAGAGCAGCACCGGCCATTATGAGCAAACAGTCGCGAAAGCCTTTGGATACACAGAAGAAGAGCTCGCTGGCGTTCCCGAGGGTGCGAATCTGGGATTGAGCTGCGGCAACCCAATTGCACTTGCAAGGCTGAGAGAGGTGTGTATGCCCATCCCTGCGCCGTGTCGTTTCGCTGACAGTCAAAAGGCCGAAACCGTCATTGATCTTGGGTCTGGCGCTGGCTTCGATGTGTTTGCGGCTGCAAAGAGAGTTGGCCCTAAAGGCAAGGCCGTCGGAGTTGACATGAACAAGGTCCGCAAGCTCTTGCCTTCCGGATAGAGTCTAATACAGCGTGATAGAATATGATCGACAAGGCGAATGCCAACAAAGCTCACACCAACGCCTTAAACGTCCAGTTTATCGAGAGCGTCATCACGTCCATCGCGCTACCCGACAACACTGCTGACTGCATCATTAGCAATTGCGTCATCAACCTTATCCCCGCAGAGGACAAACAGCTTGCATTTAATGAGATGTTCCGACTACTCAAGCCCGGTGGACGAGTTGCCATCAGTGACATACTCGCGCGCAAAGAGTTTACCGAGGATATTAAGAAGAACATTGCTCTATATGTTGGGTGCATTGCGGGAGCTAGCGAGGTCAGCGAGTATGATGCGTTTCTCAAGAATGCAGGCTTTAACGGTAAGCCGAATTGTCCCACTGAGGTATAATGGAGACTAATTGGTCTTTGCCAGATGTTCTCATCGTGGACAGCAAGAATGACTTGAATGTGTACCTTACCGCCACCGAGACCAAACCATCGTGTTGTGGATCAGACGCCGTTAAAGAAGGAAAGGAGGTATCGCCTTGTTGCAGTGTAGAGGCGAGAGAGAGTTGCTGCAAGCCGGAGAAAAAGGAGTCATGCTGCGGAACTAACTCGTCGGCGTGTACTTGCCAGAACCAGACAAGTTCAATGGCCAGTGAAGCCAGGACACTCGCTACTCAATTGGGGATCACAGACTTGAACGAATGGGCAGGTAAGGACACTGGACGCTTAGCCTCCCAGAGATCGCCAACTAACCCTTCCCAGGCTCCTTCCAGGTGTATGCTGTCAAGCCGGCGGCGAACTGAGAGCGCCGTTGAAATCGGTTGACGCCGCCGATTGGAGGTTAAAATTTTCCCAAACACAGGTCAGAATGGTTTGCTAAACAAGCTTCAGACGCATAAGCAGAGGTTAGATATACACATCCGGTCGCATTACCGGGCTGGTAGACTGTTATAACCTGATAGGATTCTACATACCACCCAACGTGCTGAACATGAACAGCATGTTACTTGGTTCCTTCAATTCGAGATATACTAAAAAACTTCTCGCTTAGGAAGCACTATATACTGGTAGTTCCTATTTAGTATCCAAGTTAGAGACCATATAGTGCATCTTCTATGCTAACTTACATCTCCTTAACTAAGAATTACGGCCCGTCCCAAGCAATGCAGAGATGCATCTTCCTGTACTAGAACCAAATTAGTTTCTGTCATGCGCCGCGTATGAACAACCTGAAGGGGAACCTCGCAGTCAATCTTTTCGGCGTATGCACCATTAATACGTATCCGAAGCGGAATCGAATAAAATCTAGCGACTAATTTGCTGCAAAAAGTCGGCTGCAATCTCTGTACCGAGCTGATAGGGATACGAATCAATGTGACCCATATACCCCTCTCGCTTCCGCTCTCTAAGGGAATCTCTGCCAGGGAAGACGCGGAGGAGGTCCTGAACACTTCATTGCTAGAAGCCGAGCGTTCAGTCTTGATTGAAGTGTTACCGTTGAAGTGGGATAAGGAATCGGGTTGGCGTGCCGCCCTGTTCTCGACTTGATCATCCGGGGGCAGCGACGTCCACTTGAGGTTTTGGTATTTTGGTTCGCCAACCTTTAGCACGTCGTCATGCAATCGTAAAAGACCGTCGTCGGTTAGTAACGTCTGTTTGGGGACACAAGAGAGGCTGTTCGTGGAGTAGTACGTCTTTGCACGAAGCGCCGACGAAACAGTGAAAGAGAAATCGTGCAAAAGATGGAACGAAGGGGAAGCAGCGTTAAAAAAATATGCGAAGGACAATGTCTGTAGTAACGTTGACGTTCTCAGAACTGTAAACAAGAGCGTCCGGTTCTTTGGCAACCACTGTTAGAGTTCCGAGACGACGTCCAAACAGATACCTCCGTAGCTGCCGTTCGACTCTTGTGATGAATTCTCCAGGGAAGCTTGAGATATGAGTTGGTGGTTGCACTTCCGTATATGGCAGGAAATCAATGTCCTTTTTTGCCTCAGCGGTGACTGGATTGCCGACTCCTAATCCATCAGATGTTCGAAAAGTGACAATGGCCCGCAAGAGGTATGTGACGGTAGCTACCGGTCTCGGGACCAGTTCAAATATATCAAAATAGGAATTTTGGCGATTGAATGATGGAGGAAGGCGTTGACAAAGTATCGGCAGCTCCTCGTTACCGCTTGCTTCTGGCATAATGAACTGAAAAGGAAAGCTATAGGTGCGCCGAGGACCTAGAGCTTCAACGTTATGGACTGGATATCCAATATCTAAGAACTGCCTTCGGTCACTCGACTATGCCGGGAAAAAGGGTATGGGCAAACCAACAGTCCAAGTAGACCGAGACCCAGTGTGATCGCGGATACTCGGATCCGTGGGGATTATAAATACCCGTTTGCAGGCCTATGGTTTTGTCAAACATAGTACAGATGAGGATAACATCCGCTGAACGCACCTATGAAGCGGATCTCCATTCGAGTAATAGAGAGCGCCGGCTTGGAGGTAAGCAGGATCTGTCCTTCCAGCGAGTCGCCTGGCCGAAGCGGCCCGGCCTCTGTCCGACGTACACCGCACTCAAAAGCCTCGATGTCCAACTTAACGTCTTCAGGGTCTCTCAAATTGCGTGTCATCGTACAAAGCATATGCGGTCATGGAGCAAGGAGGAGGTTCTCTCGGAGGTGGTAGAGAACTTCGGGGTTTGGGGCACGTTTTGCTGTCAGTAGTCACTGGATAATTGTGGACACCCGCATTCCTCCAGCCTCGTAGTAGGGCGGTCGATTGATATCTCCAATATCCCCGACCAAGATACCAGGGAGTCTGGGGATGGAGCGAGGAAGCCTGAGAGAAGGCCGAAAATAGCGACACGGGTCAGTCGCCGTTGCTGTGCCGCCAAAGAAATCAAGTCGGGATTCTGAGAAAGCCCTAGTTACAGATTTGGTAAGTTTTCGGTTTGTCACCATTGCGTGGTCATATCTGCACTCCACTTTTTTACCGTAGTCTTTGTGTTGGATGCAATCCTCCGCTTTTTGTCGAAAGAAGCCATTGAGGGGATGAAGCTTCGGTAAGTGCATCCCCTGTCGCAGGAAGGGATCTGCTGCCAAGACTCGGCAAATGCTGGGGTCTACATCGGTTCGCGTCAAGTTGTCTTCCTGCCCAAGAAGTATAAAAGGCTAGCGTGTCCTCACCAGCGAAAATAAGTGGTCATAAGCAGACAGATCTAATAGATGCCGCTTCTTAAGATTTGCTAAATATGAACCGCTTGGAGACTACATTCCCTGAGGATGTTCTTAACCCTCTTGATGGAGGGTATGGCTGGATTATTGTGGGCTCGTGCTTTATCCTGAATGCCTTCACTTGGGGTGTGATAGCAGTAAGTGCTCTTGACTCCTGAATTTCATTTTCTGTAACTAATGCTCTAGTCTTTCGGCATGTACCTAATAGAATATATATCCTCCGAAAAGATTGCGAATGCTAAGCGGATAGAATATAGACTTATCGGCGGGCTGAACTTCAGTTATGCCATGCTCCTTGCTCCTCTAGTTACCCACCTTGCCAGTAGGTTCCGTTTATAAGTTATTATGCTTTCTGGATGCTTCTTACAATATATTAGCTATGTAGCTGCTTCCTTCGCCTCTAGAACATGGCATCTTTACCTTACTTAAGGGGCTCTGGTTGGCAGCAGGATCGGTTTTATTATTATACCTAGCACGGCAGTTCTATCTTAGTGGTTTTCTAAACGGCGTAGCATTGCCAATAATATCAGCTCTGCTGGCTCTGGCATCGGAGGAGCCGCCTTTACTTGGGGAGCAGCCGCAATAATCTAGCATTAAGGGTTGGGCTAGGCACTCCGCATAACAGGCCTCATTACTCTCGCAGCTATCATACCAGCAACTCTCTTACTTTAAGACAGGAACTCTTAAATCCAGCTAAACTAGCGTGCAGTTAACATCGCCCTCCTTCATTCCAAGGCGATTATCTTCCTTTTGATGTAGGCTTTCATCAGCATATTCAGGTATATTGTCTTGCTATTTTCGCTATCGGAGTTTGCTCTCGCCATAGGGCTATCCTATAAACAGGCCACCGATGTCGTCGGTTTCCTGAACGTGGGGACTGCTGTCAGATGTCCCCTTATTGGCCTTGCAAGCGATCGTTTCTCTAGCATTGCTACCGCCAGCGTGCTTACGCTTCTCTGTGGTCTCATTTGTTTTGCCTTATGGTTACTGGCTAAGTCCTTTGGACTGACATTATGCTTTTCCATTCTTTATGGGGCAATCTTAGGGGTATTCTAGATAGTAAGTATCTCCTTTTTTGTCCAACCTCACTCGGAACATTTAGAGCGAAGGGCTTCGCTGACATTCCACAGACTATTGGCCCCTTATCGGCAGAAGTCGCGGGTCTCAGAAATCTTCAATCGATGCTCTCCCTCGCTTGGGCTGCAACAATCCTCCCTACTGTATATAAGTAATAAGCTTTGCGACTGTAACGCAAACATAATGCAGACCATTGACCTTGACTTTTCAGCTGCCGAAGTCATAGCTTTACTATTGCAGGATTTGCCAGGCCCAAGAACCTATCTCTACCCCCAAATCTTCGCAGGTATATCGTATATTATTGCTAGCGGATTCCTAGCAGCGTTGTGGAGAAACTTGCGGAAAAGTAACTCTGCATCTCTAATACGCAGTCCATCTGTTGATGTGAGTAGTGGAGAATTACGGGAAAACTACCGGAGAAGTCTGGCGGCATAGGGTGTGCTGGTAAGGCAGTAATATCCGAACATTAGGTGACTGCTAAGCTAGTACATTGCTTAGGTAACTCTTTGGCTTACATGCCTTTTATGCCCAGCTGGCCATTATCACCCCTCAGTTTTGCTAGCACTTGTTGATGTGTGAGAGGTTCAGGCTGCATATCCCGAGGAGACGGGTACCCGTTATACAGCCGCATCCCCGGCTTATATGAATAGCCAGTTAAGACGGGGTCTCATGGTCAAGAACATTGGCAGTTGGTTCCTCATCGTACATACCCAATTTATGTGAATTATAGATGGAATGTGAAGTAATAACAGTCCTGTCTGTTGGAAATTATAAGCTAATGTCTTCTCTGTGCTAGCGAATGGTCACTATTATGCCCCAATATTTATTGGTGGCAAATGAGGAGGACAAATGCAACCCGCAACCCAATCCTCTCCGAGTAATATTATACCTCCGGAATGATTATAGAGCTCTAGTGGGGATATTGTAAGATTATTAATAAGGAACGGGCGTGGCAAGTTCCCATGAAAAGGCTTACAAACTTAACAGAGATAGCAGCAAGCATTGGCTAAAGCTAGTCAATCAGAGTTCTTCCTTAATCATTGCGGAAATTTTCCCCACCATAAGCTGATGGGGGGCTGATGAACAGCTAAGCCGAGTTTCGTCTCATAATACCACTACCAAGCGCATCAAATCCCCGCGTATCATCACCGTTAATCTGAGCTCGAATCAAATCCCCCAAGCGATCACGCAACTCTGGCGTAAGTTTTCCATCAGTAACAGCTAGACCGCCTAGGAAATTGCTGAGCATGTTCATGAGAGGCTTGAGCGATGCTTTGAGGCTGAGTTTGAGACCTAGAGTCTCGACGAGGTCGTTGACTATGTCGAGGAGTAGTTTGACCAGTTCTTCGACTAGATTGAGGACATTGGCGCGTTGATCGCTGGTTAGTTTGAGGTTCTTTGTGGTGGAGAGTCTGGTTAGTGCGCCTGAGACGGCGGCGCGGATTTGGATGATTTCTTTGAGGGCGTCGGTGGTGCCTTTATTGCGTGTCTCTGTCCCGGCTTGGACACGAAGAAGCGTTCCATCTAAAGCTGTTAGTCGAGCCATTCCCAGATTTTCATTTTCATGCCGTAGATTGTTGGAGGCATACTAATCCTATCACCCCGAGCAGCGATCTGAGCAACAAGGCTATCCAAGGAATCAACAAGATCCTGGCCGTTCTTGAAGCCCGTTGACGAAGACTTGAGCAGTCTCTTTGAATGGGTCGTCTTGGGCTTCTTTCCAGGCTTGGTCTTCTTGACCGACGCCTTGGCAGAGGGCTTCTTCGATGTCTTTTTCTTAGGCGTAACCTTTGACCGTTTGACTTTTACATTCGTGGTGGCGGTTTGTCCCGCCTTGCGCTCAGCGCTCAGCGCGTCGAGGTCGACTTTGACACTAGGAAGGCCATCGTAGGGAATAGTATCGACAAGATGAGATGATTTCTTGGTAAGGGATTTTTCGGTAGCTGGTGCAGCGAAAGAGCTGGTCACGAGAGCTACAGCGGCGATCAAGAAGACTTTCATGGTGATGAATTTGTGAGCAGAATATTTGAATTAACCATGTGAACTGGGGGGGGGGGGGGGGGGGGGGGGGGGCATCTTGGCCCGGCGACTTGCAGACATTTATAAATTCCTTCCATGCCAGGGACCCAGAATAGAGTTGGGATTTGCCTCATGCGACAGTTGAAGTTATCGTCATCCTTGTCGATCTTCTGATCAGTCAACCATCATATCATGAAATGACATGGCTTTCATGCTGAGCCAACGATCAAAGCTGGGCCGCTGACGTGAATTGCGTTCTTTCATGGCTATTAACTATAAGTCTGAAAGTTTACATTTCAGGACTGGTATGAAGTTACCGCGTAGAGTAACTGTGGCTTGCCGATCATACCAAAAGCCCCAACGCATCATAGATAGAAGGGGCCATCGACAGATCCGGACAATTTGTGGTCGGTAATAAGTGCGTCAGTTCTTGGGGTCCCTGGTAGATCTGCGAATCACATTCTCAGGGTGACTGTTCCAGGCCAGGCACAATCGTGGTGCCTTGGACCCTTCAGCTTTGTTCAAGCGAATAACGTCATCCAAGGTCGGATTTGTGAACGAATTTTTACATGATCAACCAGTATCTACATATGCAACCTTCGGAACTACCGTAATTGAATAAGTGACGCTCCATATAAACGTCTGATCTCATTCCAGTTTCCTAACCGCACCCAAATCTGGTGAGCATGAAGTATCTTAATGAAATGCGAAAAGGACGTTTCACCATGAACCGCTCAGCAAAACCGGTAAAAGCGAATTTACAACTCTTCTAGCAATAATAGAATAATACGCAAGTTCGTTTCATGTCACGTCATAACATAAATATATTTATTTAAATGTTAAGAAAACATCTACAAGATGAATAAGGTCCAGTAGGTGCAGGGTAAGACAAATACCAGCAGGGATGCTCCACCAACCCCACCACTGCGGAGAAAAAGGACACGTCTCCACAACACCAAAGCAAAAAGCAGACATCGCGAGGACGTGCACGGCGCAAAAGAAAGGGTCTGGCCGGGGATTGAACCCGGGACCTCTCGCAAGCTATGCTATAGGGTTTTCCCTAAGCGAGAATCATACCACTAGACCACCAGACCGGTCAAGTTCCGAAGAACTTTCTGTGGAATCGCTGGTCTCGAGCTCCAAGATTGTGCCCTATGAACCCGATGCGAAGTGACTGCCTTGATCCATATAGTTGTTGCAGTTCATTCTTCGCACGACAGCGATTTATGGTCACTTGGAAGAGAGCTGTAATGATTCCGCTCGGCAATGGCTTATACGGGCGTCGAGTCCAGCAGCACCGTTGCAGCAGGCGAGATTCCATGATTACCTTTCTCCCGCGATCACTGAGGAACTAATTGAATCAGCATGGCTGCGTCTACTTAGAGTGGCTAATGGCGAGACGAACGATGCATTTCATAAGGAAGTAAGTAAGACAGGAATTTGTATGAAGTGCTTCCCGACGGTATGATGGTCTGAAGGAAACATTGTAGAGAGACATAGAAAGCGAATTGCTGGACCGGTGCTCTGTAAGGGTGTTATTGAGAGAAAATTGTCGCAACTTCATATAGGTGGCCGATTCTTTACCAGCCTTACTGATATTACAGAGCGACTGCATTTATATCTTGGTAACCCTGGATATCTTGCTGGTATCATACAATACCGCTAATAACAGACACCGAGCTTGACTGGCCAAGCCATCAGATCACAACCCGACGCCAGCATCTCTCAGGTCCCTCTGTGATGGTGGCATGGCCCTTAGCTATATTACTTAGTGCTGGCCTTTAGAACACAATTGTGCTTTCGAGCGCAGTGGACTTATCGAGGAGTGGAATGCCGAAAAGGATAGGCATCGAACATCAGCAGGAAGGCGGGTCTGGAGTACGCAGGGCATAGCATTTGAGGAGTCCATGGAGTGTGAAGAAGTGTATAAAACTCGTTTAATCTAGAGATTCGAGCAGTGCACTGTCTAAAATGTCGGAGGGGCCAAGGTCTTAACACCGCGATGGTGATACATGCAACAAGGTACCATCGACTGATGAATTGGAAAAAGAAGAAGAAGAAAGGAACTCAACTGTGTCAAAAACCCATAATATCACTCAGGGTATTTCTTATGTCTGAAAATGACTCTTGAAGGTAATAGCAACTTCCATAAAGCCATTTTGGCAAGGCAGAAAGATCCTGGTGAGCCAACGAGCAGTCTTTCCAATCTCACACAAAGCCACCGAAGAGCAGCTTACCTTGCTAACCGACCTTCAACTAGCGTACGAGTTGCACGGATAGAGCTCCCGGGTAAGATGTCGGGAGTGGATATGAAGACCTGGTGAGTGACAGAAACGACCCCCATTCTTGAAACATGTGACATACGCATACCACTAAGCGTTTAAGCATATTGACCCAGACGTTTGTAGCTGTCAACTCTATGGTGGTTGATCTTTGTGTAACGTTTACTAGTCATTATCGTTTGCAAGCAGTGAGATAAAAGGGGTAGACTATAGCACACAGTATTTGTTGTAACTAAATAATAAGATAAGCAAACTATGGAGGATATGAACCTTGATCTGGAGATATCAAATATGCAAGCATTTGTCTATGGGCCGGTATCATAACAAACACCGAGATCCACATTACCCCGGATTTTATCATCCATCATCACTGTTACAATCCAGCCAAGGACTTAAACCAAATACCAAGCCGGATAGCGATCCTTCGCTATCAAATCTACCTTATCTTGACAATTATTACCAGGTCCATCATCACCTGGACAGTAGATCATGGCAGAAATTACCCATTTCAGATATCCACGGTTACCCATCTCCGCAGCATCGCTCCGACAAAACAAGCCCCCAATCACTCCCTTGTGGCAAATCGCACGAATCACAGTATCAGAACTTCCAATACTCACACGCGGCTGGAACTCTGTACTGCGGGGGCTCGACCTCACCTTCAGAAAAAAACTAACCTCAAAACGGTAATTTTAGTCTGATATTTCTTCTTCACCACCAAATTTTGTGGAGTTCTCATAGTTTATACTAAGATTCGAGATCGGAGTGGCATAATGCCGGTCTGGAACACTGCTTGCGGGCGCAAAGAATCTGGGGTATTACGTTTTGAGTTGACACTGGTCGAAAACAGGGGCGATATCGATGATGCGCCTGTGGTTTCTCGGAAAACTACCTATCAAGCGTTGGATCGGCGTCATACTACAACCGATAAAAAGGACCTAGCACTGCATCGTGTGTTTAACCGTTTGCTTGTTAATGTGAAGGGGGCGTTTCCCCGCAACCTTGGGTTCCCGACTAGCTGAGACTCTCAGCATATACAAGTCGAGCACCTCGCTCTTCATCCTCCAGAATTGCCATGTTTTAGTGAATAGCTTTATCAAAAACATCACAATGACAAACCATACACATAATTCCCAAGGCGAGGGCCACCTTCGGCCTCGCCTATCAAAGATCACCATGGTAGCCATGACCTTTGCCATTCTCAAGTGTGTTTTTCCCAATCTCTCTCCAAACCATTTTCTGATGTGAAGTATAGTACTTGGATCTGTCTAGCGGGAAGTCTATCTATTGTTCTTCCTTCTGGTGGATCTGTTGCGTTCTTGTATGGTTTCATCTTTTGTGTCTTGTGTAATTTTGCGCTGGCGGCCAGTTTGGGTGAGTTGGCGGCGATTTGGCCGACTGCTGGTGGGCAGTATCATTTCCAGTGGGCATTGACTTCTGAGAAGTGGAGGAAGGTCATGGTGAGTTCTTTGGTATGTGATTGTTGGGAGAGTATTGACGATAGCAGAGTTTTGCAGTTGGCTACATCAATATCTTTGGGTGGCTAACTCTCGTGACAACCGAGGGTTTCTTCGCAGGTTTGTGCTTCTGCGAGATTGAAAGGACTAAAATTGACATTTGCAGCACAATTCATCTCGGCAGCCTGTGTAGTAGCGTCTAACGGAAACTACGTCGTGGCAGCGTGGAAGACCTACCTCATATTCATGGCAGTCCTCACCTTTGGCACTCTCTCCATGACCTTCGGTAACCGAATCCTGGGTGCCTGGAACAATCTCGCTCGTAAGCTATTCAAATTCCCTGCCCGCAAGCTCCAGCTAACTTTGCAGTGTATTGGTCCATTCTTAGTGTTTTCGTTGCCAGCGTCGTCCTCCTCTCGACATCCGACAAAACCGACCCCGAATTCGTCTTTGCGACCTATGCGAACGAAACAGGCTGGGATGACGGAATTGCGTGGATCTTGGGTCTTCTGCAGTCAGCGCTGTCACTCATTGGATACGATGCTGTGCTGCATATGACGGAGGAGATGCCAACACCTTCTCGGGACGCTCCGTTGGCGATGGTATATGCTGTTGGTGTCGGAGGAACAACGTAAGTCAAGCGCTTTCTCGGAGATATATGAGCTAATCAAGGGACAGTGGTACAATCTTCATTCTCGTCATGCTTTTCTGCCTCACCGACCTCTCTGGCATCGTCGCAACATCAACAGGCATGCCCATCGTCGAGCTAATCCTCCAAGCAACCGGCAGCCGCGCCGGCACCACATTCCTCACCCTCATGCTAGCAATTTGCTTCATCCACGGAACCAACGGCTCCATCACCAGCGCCTCTCGACTCTTATACGCCATGGCTCGTGATAAAGGAACTCTGTACCACGAGTACTTTAGCCATATCCATCCCAGATGGGAAGTACCTATCAGGACTATTGTTTTGACTTGGGTATTTAATGCGATCTTTGGACTGTTATACTTGGGACCGACGGTTGCGTTCAATGCGTTCATTTCATCGTGTACAATCTTGTTGAATATGTCGTATGCTATTCCGGTTGCGACACTTATTATCCGCGGGAGGGACACTTTGACGCAGTTTCAGAGTGCAGATACGCCTTGGAGATTTGGAAAGGTTCGGGGGTTGATCATCAACTACGTTGCTGTTCTTTACGTCTTCATCACATCGATCGTAAGTCAGACTCTCCGCCAACATTGCAAAGCTAACGGTCGTCTAGTTCTTCTGCTTCCCGCCTGTACTACCAGTCGATGCCAGCTTGATGAGTATGTATCCCCCCTCTTCTTCTCTGTCGAGTACACGCTGATAACAGACTCAGACTACGTCTCGGCCGTCATTGGCATCTTTGCCATCTTCCTGACGGGATACTGGATTCTATACGGAAAGAAGACATTTCAGGGCCCGGTAAGTTTCATGTTATCCTCCTTGAGCATATTGCTGATGACTGTGACAGGAGCTCGATGTCATTCTTGGAGAAAGGCCGGAACTTGCCGAAGCCACGGATGAGTTGGCGATGGAAGAAAAGAAGGTCGAGAGTCCGACGGAGTGATGTTTTGTACGATACCTTAATTTTTATATAGCTTGCATATAATGAATTCAATGCCCATTTAATGTTAAGACACCCAGCTGTTCTCCAGTCTTGATCGGCAACATATGCATCTTGTGCCGAGTTGGTGACTGATCTGTTGAGTTGGGTTAGCGGAAGCGCAGTATCTTTCATTGGCTCCCCAAATTCCAGGTCTCTTAGCGGATCCCTCCGCCTCACTGCTCCATTTGCTTATCGCCACTGACTAACAAGTCCAGTAACAAATTGTTATCCATCACTTTCTCCTCCTCGGAAGAGTATCGGAGCGAAGGACATCGCAACCGTTACTCAAAATGACTGTGATAACTGAAGATATCATACCGTAGTCTCACTGATCAACTACCGAGCCATTCATTGTCTGTAATGCACACAACTCCCGCTAAACCTCTCGGCCTTGCGGAGTTGCAAATCCGTCTCCAACAAATCACAGCCTAGCTTACCAATTCCGCGGCTCCCGCTAAAACCAATCTGATCACCCGCGCCCTCTAACTTCTGCGGGGAAGCCCAGTTCATTTCACTTCAATTCTTATCCTTGACTTTATCAATCGCCTGAGCACGTTTTCTCAACTCACTCAGCCCCATAAACTTGCTCACATTCTGTTTAAGCTTACATAAACTCAGCATGGAGGAGGCGGAATCAAGTGCTAGGTCCATTGGGAAACGGAAGCTGCCCGTTAGATCGAGATCCGGATGCTTGACGTGCAGGACCAAACACGTAAGTCAATCCCCGCGATACTGAGGACCGTGACTGATAAGGAATAGCTGAAATGTGATGAAGCAAAACCAGAATGCCAGGTTTGTGTATCGCGAGGTGTTCAGTGTGGAGGTTATCAGCGCGGTTTGAGGTGGTCTACCAAACATGAAAAACCAGCTGAACTCACTGAGCATAAATTCCGAACATCGCCAAAGCAAACCTGCGGAACCAAAAAGCGTCGCGGTAGACCGCCAAAACGACAACTCGACACTGCATCTACGGCGTCATTCACCACCGCTGGTTCAGTATACAGCTCCAACGACGCGAATCAGGGAGTTTTTGGTGAATTTATGCTGAATACACAGCCTTTGGAAGACCAGCAAGATGTTCAGCTTTTGGAATCGCAAACAAGTCCAACAGATGACTTTATATCTCAGTTTCCGCTCGATCTTCCTGTTGAAGGCCTTCCATTGCCAGAGTTTGAATGGACGCCTGACGCGCTGGATCTAACGGCACCGACATTTCAGGACTTTTCTGATACAAGCACCGACCTCGCTCTGTTCCCCGTTCAGCAGAACTTCTCAACGCTCTTCGTACCCCCTCCAATAACAGATCTCTCAACTCAACTCGTCGAATACTGGTTTCGCGATATTTGCTCGCTCTGGTCGCAGTATGACTCACCGACAAATTCGAATCGCATGCTAGCAACAACTTTATGGTCAACTTCGGAAGCTGTATCGACCAGTTTGCAGAGCATGTCATCGGCATATCTCTCATCCAAGATGCCGCATATGAAGAAGACTTCTATCGCTATGATGAAAAATGCTACTGATGTTATCGAGGCGGAACTACGCGTTGTCAAATCGTCACCGAATCTCGACACCGTGCCTATGGGTCTTATCTACGGGTTGTTTTGTATAGGGACGAGTATTTGTTGGTTGAACGCGACACAGCTGGGTATACCATTTCTCAGAGAGGCAAAGGCTCTTCTTCATCGGATAAACAAACAGAAGCGGCGCCTCTCGGAAGAAGAGAGAAAGCTTCTGAACATTTTCAACAAGAGCTGGACATATTGTGAGTTGTTGCTCTCTGTTGTGTCAGATACAAATCCATACATCACATACGAAGCCGAAGAAGTCGAGGATATCAGCGCAGACGAATATCCAACAGCCATGCCCACCGAACCAGTCGTCGATGACATGCCGCATCCCTGGACCGGTGTTTCGAACACAGTATCGCGACTTCTGACGCAGACTTTGAGGCTCTGTCGAAATTATCGATATCATGTTAAGCATCCCGGACCTTTTGCGACGCGCGATCACGCGACTGCACTGAATATGATCGAAGAGGCCAAAACGTTGGAAGAGAAACTTTTGGGTCTTGATTTCGAATCTGCACCTGCAAATACTGAGACGGGAGATCAGAAAACGCCATGTCGCCATCTCGTTAACGTCGCTGAGGCGTATCGTCTCGCTGGTTTAATCCATATCTACCAAACCTTCCCTGAATTGGTTCTGCTGAGATTACCCGATAATCTCTCCGGTCCAGCAGATGCACATATCCCATGGGAAGAATGCATCACACCGCTAAGTCTTCGTCTGACAAAGTTAATCGAGCAACTCCCTGCGGACTCAGGTAGTAAAATGACCCAACCCCTCCTTTGCATCACCGCCAGCACCGGTCTACGCTTCGAACCCTCCGATACAACCTCAAGCCCCGAAAGCCAAGTCCCTCTCGCGACACCAACGCCTTTCGATCTCGGTAGCACAGAACATTGCGGTTTATCAGATTACATCGGACAACTCATCCAAGCAGACGAAGACATTGAGCGATTATCAACATCCACTGCCAGCGAGTCACGTCTCAAGATTGTTGAGGCGAGATGTTTTATCGTTGGGAGGCTTGATGCGTTGGAAGCGCTATTGCCGCCGAGACCGATTGTTGTGGCGAAGACGCTGGTGCAGACGATTTGGAATGAGTATGATAAGGAGAAACAAGGGGCTGCGACTGTGCATTGGATTGATGTTATGGAGGAGAATAATCTACGATCTTTGTTTGGATAGTGATACCCAGAATGAGAGCTCGAAATTGACTGTCAAACTTACCCTTGTTATGGTTTCCGTACCGGGTAAGGGGCGAATTCTGCGCCTGGGTTCACATGAGGACCAGTTTGTAGGGCTACATATAGACTAAGACTAGACTGGATTGGGCACCATGGTCCCGGTAACGGATATTATCTTGTCACTTGCGAGAGAAAACGCCTTGAAACTGAAGTCTCTATATTAACTCATGTTTCTATATACCTTCGGCTAGATACAAGCCCGAAAGTCCGAGATTATATACATCGAAAGTAACATCCCCAGCGATTCCAGAGGTCATCAATACCTCTTCAAGCCACCTAGATAGTTCCAAAGCCAGCACTAGCAGCAAGACCAGTGACGGAAGAAACAGGCTTAGCCTCAGCACCCTTTCCACCGAAAGAGCTGAAGAAGCTAGAATCAGTGCCGGAGAGGGAACCAGAGTTATCGTACTGGTTAACCTCGCAAACGTGGCCAACATCGCTGGAGCAAGCAGCGTTGGCGGAAGCATCAGGGCTAGCGAAGATGGCGCCGGTGGATCCCTCCTCGATAGCGGCCTTGACGTCCTGGAAGAGGTTGCCCTCCGCGAGAATCTTGGCTTCGTCGCTGGTCTCGAAGGCGTGGCCGGAGTTGTCGGACCAGTAGTTGTTGACGGCGTGGAGGACGGTGTTTCCGGCGACTTTGGGGGCGCGGCCAGAGGTTTTGGTGATGTAGTTGTTCTTCATGGTGATCATCTGGGAGGTGTTAGTGTGAGTTGATAGGCTGCGATGGTTGGAGACTTACGTCGCTGGAACCGGTGAAGTACATGGACCAGTACTGGTGTCCGTCACAAGTAGCAGACCACTTGCTCTCGCCGTTGATGTGGTTGTTGGTGATAGACACTCGGTTATCGGCGTTGGTGCCAAGGACGATGTGCTGTCGGCCAATGTTGGAGGTTGTAACGTGATCGATCCAAACAAGATCAGCTCCATCAAGGGTAATAGCATCTCCTCCCCAAACATACTGAGGGTTCAGTTCAGTAATATGGATGTTCTGAATAATAATGTTCTTGGTCCCCTTGATATAAAGACCCTTGCCCTTAATAACACCATTTGCACCAACACCAACAATCGACTTATCCGAGTTGACGATAATCGGGTTCAAACCCGCCTTATCATACGTAACATCGACCTTTGGCGCATCAGCCTGATAGTTGTTACACCAATCATCCTTGTTGATAGCCTGCTGACAGCCCGAGCCCGTACCCCAAGGAGCACAGCCCTGCTCAGACGCAGTTCCCTCGGTACCGGTGAAGTCGAACTCCTGGTCGAGGAAGATGACGCGAGTGGTAGAGTCGCCAAGCATAGAGACCAGCTCATCGTTTGACTTGGGGTATGCGCCCTCGGCACTACCGCCGCCTGTTGCTTCGGAGGCGAAACCCTCAGGGGTGCCGGTTACGCCGGCGGCGGAAACGTTGGAGACCAGCGCGGCCATGGCCACAGAGAGAAGGGAGAGAGACTTCATGACGAAAAAAAGAATGTGGTGGAATAAACAAGAAACGAACGAATGAATAGCAGAAAATGGAATAGAGAGGCACAGTTAGTGGAGGGTCATTGACATATTTATCTCGACCAACCTTTCTTTCGCAGCCTTTACCGTAAGCGGCGAAGAATATCTCCTCCTAGAATTCTTCCAGAATTATGGTCCTGTTTTGTTAACTTGAAACTTCAGAGGCCATATCGCGACCCAGTTGCTGACAACCCCGACCACGCCAAGAGTAGTTACAGATCATTATTGGCGGATTTTAATCATCGCTGCTTATTCCGTGGAACGTCGGCAATATTTTGGGATGTGAAACTTGATGACATGGTTGAGCTTGGGATTAAAGGGTTAGTGGTTTTGTGGGGAGCTTGTTTCAATGATTTGAGTTGAAACGGAGGGATCAAGCTTCTTTAGCTTGACGCCAAGTCTTGCAAGAAGTGGCAAAGATCGAGTCGTAAAAATAGCTGAGAGTGCTGAGCTAGAGCTTACGAAAAGCCTTGACTTGAGCCTCATGTCATTTCAATTCATAACCTTCTATTAAACTTCGCAGTCCCGTCAATTTAGCAGTAAGGATCAAGGGTCGATCGACGTGGAGCCGCGAGCAATGGGCCTGTAACCGGCCATCAGCACGGCCACTTGTTTACGCAGCACGGGTTAATGTTATGCTTATCCCGGAGGTGAAAGACGATGAAACCTGGTTCAACGAAGGCTATCGGTTTCACATAAGAAGAGGCAATCAGCCCACGACTCTCGATATTTTATATCAGTGACTTCAATGAGTCGTGCGCCAAGGATACACAGGCTGAGCAGCTTGTCACTGAAGACTACTACTCTTTGCGAGGATTCTCCAGGCAATTGACGTTGATGCGATTCCTCTGGATACCAGAATCAACACCGAAATTAATACGGGTATGGATGAACAGCAATAGGAGATCGGCTTAGGAATTAACCCGGATATAACTTTTCTTAAGCCTCAAAAACATTGGTGCAAAAAAGATGATGCTGCCATCTAATCTATCGGATGGTAATTATGATCAGCGTAGTGGATACACATTACGAAGTCCGGGATGTGGGCTCTCCCAGGATCTGATTAAAGTGAAGCTGGCGGTAAGCTAAATGACTAGACCTTGACTACCCGGCTTGCTACCCGATAAGGGCGGTGATAAAGGGAAGAAGAGGTCAAACGTTTTACATTCTATATTTGCCTGGTGTCCGGAGTCAATCCCTTTAGCCGGAAATCCGCCAATGCATTCATGCCCAAAAGCTAGATGCAGTATGTCTCTACACCGAAAGAAGTCAAAGCCATTGGATCCTGTTGGTCCCGACGATAAGACGTGATGCTTTGCTCTTATCCAGACGTGCAGTACGCTTTCTTCTCTTGTCCAACCCATCGGGTTTTTCTGTGAAACCTGCCGCTGTGAAGACTCGTCTCTCTCCACTCAACATGTTTACAACCATGCATGTGATCAAGAAGATTGTTACACTGCTTCCTCGATTCCGATCTCTGTCTCTAGGGCCACGTCGTGTAACGAGCTCACATTCCGAACTGTCCAGACCGTCTCGGCGACGTCCGTCCAAGCCACAACAGGGAACACAGGACTTGAAATCTGCAGTGTTCATGTCTCGGCCTAGAAAAGTACGTGGCCAGTCTTCTCCAGAAGCCGCCTCTTGTACACATACGATCTCTGCTCAGAAAATGAAATTTCACCAGCCCAAGTATTTCAGACAAGACCGCGCTTCACAGACACATAACCCCATCCTACAGACTCATCCCATCGTTAGCTACAATGACAATCCTCCAGCACACGGCAAGTACAGCAGCAGCGTGGTGCACGCCATTTACGCTGCCATTCTACGATATTCTGATCCTTCGTATCTCTGTTCCTTTCATCTGGCGTTGCTCTGCACAAAACAATCTTCGTCCCTTATTCTCTAACAACTTCTCAAAGAGACATGTCGACATTGGTGTTGGAACTGGGTACTTCCCAAGAAGAGCAATCAAGGATGTTGGTCGCGATCCAAAGGATCAGCATCTGACGTTGGTCGACTTGAGTGAACATTCTCTTGCAACAGCGAGACAGCGTGTTCTATCAAAGTATCCCGAAGTACACGTTGACTGTGTTCACGCTGACGCTGCACAACCGCTTCCCGAGTCTCTCCAAGGCCAGAAATTCACATCCGCTTCTCTTTTTCTCGTCATGCATCACATGCCGCAGCCAACAGCTAGCAAAGCAAATGCCATCACCAATGCCAAAAGTCTTCTTACGCAAGACGGTGTTTTGGTTGGGTGCACGGTATTGGGAAAGCAATGGGAAAAAACTGATAACGGATACAAGGTGAAGAGTGAGAAACCACTCGGAAGAGCAGCTGCTTTCATGCTTGGGTTTTACAATAAGAGAGGTATTTTTGACAATTGGCAGGATGATCCGAATGTTTTGGTGGAGGCTCTGAAGGCTGGGTTTGAGGAGGTTGAGACGAGTGTTGTGGCCATGATGTTTGTGTTTAGGGCCTCGAAGCCGCGTCGCGGGGATCAAAATGCTAGTAGAGGCCAGTGAGTGATGGGTTCTACCAATTTGGGGCAGCTGTCCTAGTGTCCGACATTGAGTACGTTATGAAATTGTCTTTCTTGTTCTGCATAATCACATGCCAAAAGAATTAGTTGTACGCTCTCGACTTGCTGCAACATCAGCTCTCGTTCAGAAACGAGGACAATGTCTCCGGCGGTGTGGCTGCTGTGCCTTGACGCATTCATACACGGCACGAAAACCTAATGCGCAGACACACTGGCTTTCAAGCCCATATTGCCAAATAATTGTCCATGAGATACGGACGTTCCACGGTGACATGTTACACGAGTCTTATGTGCTACCTACAGTTGAGGAAACATCTCCGCATCTCGAGCCCACTAACAGAGCGACACGATGCCCTCTGGTTCCCGAAAGAAAAGCCTCATATGCTCAAGAACCCAGATCTAGGGCCCGATTTCATGTTGTTTAACCATGCTCGGGAGAAGTACCCTAGATCAAGGCATTTTATTAGCCTAGTTGTAACCGTATATCCAAGTGGCTGCTCACTTGCATAACCTGTACTCCATTGCAGTGACATCGGCACGGGCCATACAATCTTCCACCTCGGAATGACAACGAACTAGACACGGTCTCACTGCATCAGTGCTAACTTAAGCAGGCTTGGCCGTCCGGTGCTGCAGATCTGTATAACAAGTCAAAGCTAGTAGACAGACAATGGCGCAAGAAGATCTGCAAGAAGTTTCCGATATACAGTACTCTATAGGCCAGTAAGCGAGATATATGAGATAGATATGCAGATGATGATGCACGACATATGGAGAAATCTCTGCCAGATGAACTTGATGGGTCTATCTGAGTGAAGATCTTGATATTTATGCCAAGGTCCAGATGGGGGCTTGATGGCGGTGTTGTGCACTGAAATCTGGAAATCTGTGCACATTTCTTCGATTTTCTCTTTGTTGATTTCCCAATAACTTCCAGCAATGACTATGAATGATCCATCTTGCAGTGGTGTGAATGCAAACGCAAATGTCGTCGACAGGGGCGGATCGCCTCAGCGCGATAACGCCAACATCAACAAACAGCATCCCCACAATGGTCAGCAGGACGCCGTCGCTGATGCTCCAGAGGCGCTCCAAATTGCCATTTGCGGTATTGCATTGCGTCTTCCCGGAGGAATAAGCAACTGCGAAGCGTACTGGGACCTCTTGTACCATGGCCTCGATGTCAGACGTCCTATTCCTAGCAGCCGCTTCAACATCGATGGGTTTAACGATAGTCTTAGAGGAAAAGACTCTATCAAAACCAAACATGGCTATTTTATCGAAGACGATCTTTCATTCCTTGACACGTCGTTCTTCTCGCTGACTAAAAATGAACTTGAAAGGGTTGATCCGCAGCAACGTCTGCTCCTTGAAGTAACCCATGAATGTCTCGAGGATGCAGGAGAAATCAATTACCGTGGAAAGCAAATCGGCTGCTACGTCGGTACTTTCGGAGACGATTGGTTGATCATGAACACCAAGGAGCCCCTCCGAGGAGGACTATACGCTACAACTGGAGGTGCAGATCTCATGATGGCCAATCGTATTTCGTACGAATATGACTTTCAAGGACCCAGGTATGCCTTCATCTCTCATGCTTCGAACAGCACACTAACGTCCTTGGTAGTATGGTTATTAAAACAGGCTGCTCAAGCTCAGCAGTAGCACTCCACGAAGCTTGTCGCGCCATCCAGAAAGGAGATGCTTCAAGCGCCATTGTCGGAGGCGCCAACATGATCATGACACCAGCACTTACAGCAACAATGTCATCTGGTGAGGTATTGGCCCCTGATGCATCTTGCAAGACCTTTGATGCCGCTGCTGATGGCTATGCTCGTGCCGAAGCCATAACAGCTATCTACATCAAGCCCTTGTCCGATGCTATCCGTGATGGCAATCCGATAAGAGCTATTGTTAAAGGTACAGCTGTGAACTGTGATGGTAAGTGTGTTAGTCTCGTGACTCCGAATGGAGCTGCTCATGAAGCTTTGATGCGAGAGGCGTATAGAGACGCTGGGTTGGATCCGAAGGATACCGCATTTGTCGAGGTAAGCTTTCACAACGAGTGGGGTTGGAGTCAGTATACTAATGAAGAACAGTGCCATGGTACTGGGACACCAACGGGTGATCCTATAGAGGCTACGGCAGTCGGAAAAGTCTTTGGGGGAGAGAAGGAAGTTTTCATCACTTCAGTCAAACCGAATCTCGGCCATTCAGAGGGTTCCGCCGGGCTGTCGTCTGTCATCAAGTGTGTTCTCGCTATAGAGCATCAGATGATTCCACCCAACATCAAGCTCAAGAACCCCAATCCGAATAGTAAGTCTTCTTTGTTCTGGTGGCTCATATTTGTCTAACTCATGGTCAAGTCCCTTTCTCCAAGTACAACCTGAATGTTCCACTCGAGCCAACGCCATTTCCATCAGATCGACAGAAAAGAGTCAGCATCAACTCTTTTGGGATTGGGGGAAGCAATGCCCATGTAAGTCCAACTAACCATTCTGAGTGATATCGTATGCTCAGCCGCTCCCAGGTTATTCTCGAGTCATATTCTTCAAGACAAAATGAGGCTTCAACCTCAGTCGGCCAACGAAATTCGGAATCGCCTTCCTTGCTCCTATTGTCAGCCAATACGGAAACATCCCTCCAAAGGCAGATTCGCAACCATCAGGAAAGAACAGCTAGAAATCCCGATTGCATCGCTGATCTTGGTTATACCCTTGCAACGCACCGTAGGCATCTACCTCATAGGGCGTTCATTGTTTCTCAGCGTGAGAAGTCAATCGAAGTCTCAAGTCTATTAAGAATCCCTTCTAGTCCCCCGTCGCTCGTCTTTGTCTTCAGCGGACAAGGTGCACAGTGGCCTGGAATGACGAAAGAACTCATCGAAGGTGATGACGCTTTTCGCTGTGACTTGAATGCCATGAACTCAGTCCTCCAGAGACTTGAGTTCCCGCCGAGCTGGAACCTCATAGGTATAAGCCCAAACTGAATATCACCGATGATCTACTAACAGAACATAAGATGAGCTTCTAAAGCCTGCGGAGACTTCTCAAATAAACCGAGCTGAACTATCACAGCCTCTCTGCACAGCAATCCAGTTAGCGCTAGTCAACAAGTTCTCCCGCCTGGGGCTTTCTCCAACTGCTATTGTTGGCCATTCCAGTGGAGAAATAGCTGGTACTTACGCAGCTGGTTACATCTCCATGGAAGAAGCCATCGTCATCGCCTATTATCGCGGCTATGTGACAACAAAGCAGACCCGTCACGGGGGCATGGCGGCTGTCGGAATGGGAGCACAAGGTATTTCCGAGTATCTAACTGACGGTGTTGTTGTGGCCTGTGAAAACAGCCCGGAAAGCACTACCATTTCTGGAGATGCAGATCGGATAGCTCAAGTTGTTGAAGCCATCAAAAAGGCTGATTCTGACATGTTTGCTCGTCTTCTCAAGGTCGACATGGCTTATCACTCACGTAAGTCTTCCCATGATATGGATATTATCTCTATTGACGATCTTTTAGAACACATGTTGCCTTTGAGTGCCGAGTACCAAGGTCTTCTTGAGTCTGAACTCCCGAAGCACGCTGGGACTATCTCCTCCACTAAGATTGATATGTTCTCCTCTGTCACCACTGAGTTGGTAGATACATCTCTTCGTGATCCGTCCTATTGGACCCAGAACCTTATATCGCCAGTCAAATTCTCAACGGCCGTGTCAAATTTGCTTACAGCTAAGCAAACCTGTGTCTTCCTAGAAATTGGACCTCATTCTGCCTTGGCCGGTCCTCTGAGGCAGATCTGTTCAGCTTCATCACAACCATTCTACTACATCTCTTCCAATCTCGCGATGAAGATTCCTCGGCTATCTTTCTCAGCGCAGTGGGAAAGCTCTACCAACACGGCATCCCTCTCGACCTGGCACCACTATTCCCGAACTCAAAAGCCATACCAGGCTTACCTACCTACCCTTGGGACCACAGCGCAACATATTGGTCTGAGAGTCGTATATCAAAAGCTTGGAGGTCCCGAGAGTACCCCCAGCACTGCCTTCTTGGTTCGCGCAACTTTGAAGGATCAGACCTAGAACCTCAATGGCGAAATCTTCTCAGTATAGAAGATGTTCCCTGGCTTATGGATCATAAGCTGAATCAAGACGTGGTTTTTCCATTCGCTGGGTACATCGCGATTGCTGGTGAAGCCATCAGACAGGTTACTCACTCTCATCTAGGTGCGGCATATCGACTGCGACATGTTATTGCTCATCGAGCTCTGCTGATTTCCGATTCGGTTGAAGTCTCAACTAGCCTACGCGTTCATCCGCTTAACGATCTTGAAGACTCTTCATGGTATGCATTTACTATTTCCTCATACGATGGCTCAGGCTGGGCTAAGCATTGTACGGGGCAAGTTAGCATCTCTGAGAAGGTCAGAGTTGCGAATTGGGTCCCAGAGGTGCTCCCTAGACAGATTGACTGCACGCGCATATACAATCAACTTGCCCAGGTGGGTTTCATCTATGGTCCTGAGTTCCGTGGCATGTTAGACGCTACGGTTTCTCCTTTGGAAGACCTTGTCCACGGTCGCATCGCCAACAAGACTGCGCAGAGTCACTCTCCATTCACTCTACATCCAGCGACGATAGACACCGGTCTTCAGTTACTTCTTGTATCGCAAGCGAGGGGTCTGGCTAGAAACATCGTCGAACTTGCTGTACCAACAGCTATTCAAGACGTTGAGGTCAGCGGAGGCACAGATCTGATGGACGCCAAGGCATGGAAGCTACATGAAACAGAACCGTGCGTTGAACTCAATGCTGGTGGGAAAGTCGCCCTCCGCGCTTCAGGTATACAGTTGAGGGCTCTGGGAGAGGAAATGCCCTTTGACGAACTCGACGTTCATGCTGCTTCACGCCTCAACTGGCTTCCGCACTTTGACTTTGTGGACCCCTCGAAACTCTTTGTTCCACCAACTATCAACCGGGAGGAGTGCCATCTACAGGAGGAGTTGACTCTTCTTTGCATCATTGAAACTGTTGAGAAGATTAAATCTCTCGAGCCATGCCAACCTCACTTCACCAAGTTCCGAAACTGGCTCAACAAACAGCTTGATGTTGCCGCATATGGGGATTACAACCTTGTCAGTGAACCTCAACAATTCCTTGATACTTCCCAGGAGTTTAGGCTCTCCAAGATCGAAGAAATCACCTGTAAGTTACTGGAGATGCCGCAAAAGGCGCTGACTATCGGACTCCGACGTCTCTTTGATGATATCGAGAACCTGTTCACTGGCAAAGCAGCAACTATCGAGACTCTTCTCAAGGACAACGTCTTGGCAGATATTTACAATGTTATGACTTTCGATTACTACAAGTTTCTCTGCATTCTTTCACATACACGCCCTACCCTCAGAATTCTCGAGGTCGGAGCTGGAACAGGAGGCACTACAGAGACTATTCTCCGAGGCCTAGCGCAGGTACAAGGGCTCCCGGCTTACTCTGTCTATACTTTTACGGACATCTCCGCTGGTTTCTTTCCTGCAGCCAAGGATCGTTTTTCGAATGCTTCAAACATGGAGTTCAAAGTGTTAGACGTCTCCCAGAATCCTCTTGAACAGGGCTTTCAAAGCGGAACTTATGATCTTATCGTGGCAGCCAACGTTTTGCACGCTACGCCTTCACTGCACGAGACGTTGAACAATATTCGAGCCTTGCTCAAATCAGACGGCATGCTTGTCATGACAGAAGTGTGCAGTCTATCACGTTTGACGAACTATGTTTTCGGCAACTTTTCTGGCTGGTGGTTGGGAGAACAGGACGATCGACCTGATCAGCCCTATGTCCCTGTATCACGATGGGACCAAGAGTTGAAGAAGACTGGGTTCAGCGGTGTTGATGTGGCTGTCTATGATGATGAAGAGCCATATCGGCATTGTGCTGTCATAGTGGCTGGCAAAGAACCTTCTTTCGCCATTGACCCTACTTCTGTTACTCTATTAGCCCAGTATCCTGAGAGTTATCCAGCTACCCAAGTCTCGGCTGCACTGGAATCTAGAGGTTGGAAGATCGCAGTGCGCAAAATAGAAGATGAAGCTCCTCAAGATCAGGATATCGTCTCGTGCCTTGACTTGGAAGCCGCCTTCTTTGAGGACATTTCACAAGAATGGTTCATGAAGTTCCGAGAATTCACACGGTCTCTTGGCTCAAACAGCGTTTTGTGGCTCATGCCTCCGACTCAGGTTGGGTGTTTGAATCCAAGATCGGCTCAAACACTGGGTGTTGCTCGAACTCTTCGATCAGAACTAGGGCTGAACTTCTACACGCTCGAGATTGACCTCAAGGAGGATCATTTTAGTACTCTGGTTACGAATGTCTTTGAGAAGGTCATACAAGATCAAGACAGTGAGACTCTTGAGCCAGATAAGGAATATATTGTGCATGACGGTGCGATCTGTGTTGGTCGGTACCAACCTATTCATATCGCTGAAGAAGCGTTGGACAAGGCTCAGCGTGGCGAGGTCATGAAGACCTTGCGAGTTGAGCAGCTTGGATCCCTCGAAACAATGAACTGGTCCGTCGCCAGGATACCAGACTCGCTCATGGACGACCAAATTGAGGTCAAAGTTCACTGCGCTGGTCTCAACTTCCACGACATTGTCTCAGCTATGGGTCTAATCCCCTCCGAAACTTCACATGTCTCACCAGGTGTCGAAGTCTCTGGCGTAGTCAGACGCCTTGGAAGCGCAGTGATGGGCTTTTCTATCGGAGATCGCGTCATGAGTCTATGTTACAATGGCGGCTTCTCTACGTACTTCACAGCCAAGCATCACTACATGCACCAGATTCCCGATGACATGAGCTTTGAAGAAGCTGCTACCATTCAATGTTGTTTTTCCACCGTCATATATGCATTACTTGACGTAGGGAAGATGCGCAAGGGAACCAGCGTGTTGATCCATTCTGCCTGTGGGGGCATTGGTCTGGCAGCTATTCAGGTCGTACAGATGATGGAAGGGGAGATATATGCCACAGTGGGAAACAAGGAGAAGAGAGAATATCTGGTCAAGGAATACGGTATCCCACGGGAACGCATCTTCCACTCCCGCGATGTTTCGTTCCTGGATGGGGTCATGCGTCAAACAGCCGGAAAAGGCGTCGACCTAGTTTTGAACTCTCTCAGCGGCGAGCTTCTCAACGCTTCATGGAAGTGTGTTGCCAAGTCCGGTACTTTCCTTGAGCTTGCGAAGCGCGACCTCGCTTCATGTGGTCAGCTTGATATGAGTGGCTTCTTAGACAATAGGTCGTATTGCGGTATTGATATGCACTACCTGATAGGAGAGCAGCCTGTCGTAGTAAAGGGGTAAGCCCATGGCTTGACAAAACTCACAACTGCAAAACTAACAGATTGGCAGTGTAATGGAAAGAACTCTCGAATTCTTCAGACAGGGAAAGCTCAGAGCTATAAAACCTGTGACCTCTTTTGCCGCCAGCGACGCCAAGAAGGCATTTCGCTACCTCCAAGATGGTCAGCATATGGGGAAGGTGGCTCTCGACATGCCTACAGACTCATCGAAGCTCGAGGCTAAGACCGCCACTCAGGGTATACGGTTCAACCCTCTCGCATCTTACTTCCTTGTTGGTGGCTTGGGTGGTCTCGGTAGAGCTTTGGCGGTCTGGTTAGTGGAGCGCGGGGCCAAACACCTTGTGTTTCTCTCAAGAAGCGGTATGGCGGACGACAAGTTCTCTTTAGAACTTGAGGCCATGGGATGCAGTGTCTCTGTCGTCAAGGGAAGCGTTAACAGTCTGGAGGATGTAGAAAATGCCATCAGCAAGGCCCCCTATCCCATCAAAGGTGTCTTTCACCTTGCTATGGTACAAAGAGTAAGTCAATTTTCAAGGGCTATGACCATAGACTGACTTTTATAGGACTCTCCCCTGCTGGAAATGAAGTGGGCGGATTGGAAGGATGCCAACGAGCCCAAGGTCAATGGAACTTGGAATCTCCATCAAGCACTTCATGACCAGCCCCTGGATCACTTCTGGCTAGCAAGTTCCGCAGTCACATTTGCCGATCAGCCTGGTCAGGGCAACTACAAAGCCGGATGCATGTTCATCGAATCATTCTGCCAGTACAGACACTCTCTTGGCCTTCCCGCATCGGTACTCTCAATATGTGGTATTGAAGACGTCGGATACTTGGCAGAGAATCCATCAGCGCTTCGCAGCATTAAACTTCAGGGTCTACACACTGTGAGAGAAAAGGAGTTTCTTGAAAGTGTAGAGGCTTCTCTGTTCAATTCTGCTCCAAGGAAGGACAGCTCTAGCGGTAGTTTCGGGAACCTCTCGTCGAATGAGTGGTCGCCGTGGAAGAATAATGGCCATATTGCTATGGGTATGAGATCTCATCTTCACCTCGACGATCCCAAAAATCCTACCAATTGGCGTCGTGATCGTCGAATGGGTGCATATCACAACCTTCCAACTGGAGATAAATCCGACACGCGAGGTGAAAGCAGTCAACTCAAGATCTTTCTGCAGACCGTCAGTGAAGGAGATGCCATTGAAACACTAGCAGAAGAAGAGTCGATTGACTTTCTATCTATCGAGATTGGTACAAAGGTCAACGATTTTCTTCTTCGTCCAGATGCACCTGTTGATCCTAATCTCAGATTATCTGAGATGGGACTCGATTCACTTACTGCGATTGAGTTGCGGCGATGGTTTGGTCAAGTGTTTGGATTGCAAGTTAGTGTGTTGGAGATGATCGGGGCAGCGTCGCTGAAGGAGGTTGGGCGGATTGTAGCGACCAGATTGGGGGAGAAGCTTAGTCGACGGGACATGTGATGAAGTTTTTATGGGTATTAGTGGCTTTTAGGATTCATTTTTGCTGATCTAATGAACCATAATGAAGATCTGGTACGAAATCTGCGTGAACCTTATTCTTGACCTCTTCTGGAATCTTGGCCATTGACTCCATTCCTTCAAGAAGAACCAACTGCTGCCCAGCCTGAGGGATGTTGGATAAGTCAGCGATCAGGTGTGAGAGGCAGTACTAACTTATCCCTAAATGATGAATCATTAGCAATGCAGCATGCTAGCTGATGAAAAGGTGCTCTGATAATTAATAACGGTCCAGTCGCCTGTAGCATCCCCAAATCTGCATCCATCTCGAATTGAGGGATTGTCAAGAAGAACCTCTCAGCGCCTTCGTTCATAGGTGAAGTATACTGGCTAAATTTCCTATTGTAAATAACCACAGTATCTTGGTTGAGAAAGACCGTAACAGGATACTTGAATAATTTCATGCTTGCTAAACCCAGCGTTGGAAGGTTGCCTAATTGCGACAAACCCTTTTCATGCTGGTGCCAGGTTTCTTATGCATGACGGTGGTATTGATCCAATCACTTAAACCTGAAGCGGGTGATATCTAGACCAACTGAATTACGGCCACCAATAATGCAACCTTCAGGCAACAATGAAGGGTCAAGTGACCGAGCTCTCATCACTGTCCTCAATGACTGATATAATGGCTTCTTTTGCTTCTCAAGTCTCGTTTACATCACTGCAAGCCAATGTTTCATCCAATAAGCCGACACATTCTAGCTCAGTAGAACGAACTTATACATACCATAACAACAAAGTAAGCCTGATATCAGGTCGAGTTGCGAACTCAACCTGATATACCAGAGAGGCTACAATATTGTTTGACCTAGTAGGTAACTCCAAAAGAAAGAGACAGAAAGGGCTCACTGATCAAGCAAATAGAATGTGCACCTGGATAACTTCTGCAACGCATTATTCAGGATGCCCCCCAACATGCGACACTGAGAGTACAGTGCTGGTGAAATGTGCAAACACCCAAACGACGGGCGGACAATGCACCAACCCAGCGACAGCCCGCATGGGCCGATCAACATCCCGAGTTCAATGTCCCCAGCACCGAGATGAAGGTTATAGCCAACTTTGATTGTCAAGCAATGGAGATTTACAGGTTCTGGCACATTGCGATGTTTATTTAGTTCTTGATATTGCACACAAACATTTCATTCCATGTAACTGCCATTTGCTACTGTAGCTTGACCGCTTTCTATAAATAGTTAGACCCCCCAACTTGTCTCCAGGGGTAAAGCAGTTTATTCTCATCTTAACATCGCATCGCATCACCATGATTGACGATACCCTGACAGTTCATACGACTTCAGATGTCATCAACAACCGTGCGGCCGAACCTCCATCCATATTCCAGAGAGGCGAGTTTGTCGCATTAGGCTCAACATCATTCGTTGAGCGTCTCCCCAATGGCGACATCATCAAGACCGCATGGCCCGGAGCCGATCGAGTCGCCGAGCGTCGCCGCGAACTTGCCCTCGAGTCTCAGATCTACGACAGACTCGGCCAACATCCCCGCATCGTAAAGAAAAAGGCCTGGGATCCTGATAACCATACCTTGACTCTGGAGTACATGCCCAATGGGACTCTGAAGGCCTATCTTGAATCGGATCAACATGTCTCTATGAGCCAGCGCCGTCGATGGATCATGCAGGCTGCCGAGGGCGTCGAGCTCCTGCACCGCTCGGCCGTCATACACTGCGACGTCGGGCCACATAATTATCTCCTGGATCATCAACTAGACCTCAAGATTGCTGATTTCGCGGGCTCGTCACTCAACCATTCAGCAACCGATACTTGCCCGGGCGCGCGGTACACACCGCCTCACCTGGACAGGACTTGGTACCAGAACCCAGGACGCCAAGTCGACATATTCGCGCTGGGCTCGACGATATACTACATCCTGACGGGCAAAGCGCCCTTCGCGGAATTTGATAGTGAAAATGTAGAGAAGAGGTACCTAGCGCACGAGTTTCCTGACCTCGCAGATATACCCTATGCAGAAATCATCCGAGGGTGCTGGTTACAGGAGTTTGCATCAGGGCGCGAGGTGATGGAGTTGATGAAGAATACATATTCTGTAAGTGATGAGGTATGTGGTTCAGTAGTAGCCTCGTAGTCCATGTATTTTATTCCCTCGAGCAGACGGGGGTCAACCAATGGTCTGGAATAGCCATACGTAGCATGATGCGTGGAGTGGATGACGCAGATTTCTATCGAGAGGATAGATAGGAATAGAAGGGAGTCCCAGTTTCAAATGGCGGCTTATCCTGCAATCTTAGAAAAGGGCCGTGTTTATTGTCGTCAGCCAGCATATAATCATATTGATCATATTAAAAAGGCTGTATTCAACCACCAGGACGAGCTGTACGCCAAGCCAGGCAGACTATGGAGTGTGCTTCTCCGCAAAGTGTTACGTCTCTCTGCAGACTAATATTTGTAACAGGTGGTCGAAACCCAAAGCTGGAGGGACATCATGCTGAACCTGATGAACATCGACTTTGAGCATTATGTCAGAGTTTCTATCGGCCATCATAAGATGATCGTGGTAGCCAACAACGGTAGCTTTGCCGTCTTCAAAGAGTCGGGTGTAAGAGAAGAGTATTGTTCCCAAACTGCGAACTTAACTGACATGCTACGGGTTGTGTATATCCCCATATGGGAGATCTTATCATTGAGAACCAGGTCAACGAGACTATTCCATTCTATAAACACGGAGATCCGTCGTGGTTCATAGGGTCCGGTCACCAGCAGAAGTTCCCTGGCAGGACGGTGCAAGATGCAATCGAGAGGGCCGACAAGCCGCTGAACTTGCAGGATCCGGCATTGATGATCGTACATGACCTGCCTACGCTTGGATGGAGTGTCTTGTGACTCAGGGTGACGTCTCAGAAAGCTGCAATGATCCATGCTGCTAAGCTGCGATACTTTGCTGTAATTTTCATATCCTTGAGGTTGGTTTGTTGTTCAATTGCTGACGTTGAATAGTCGGGTATGAGCGTGCCGATCTTGGAGGGGATTGCAGAGGAGACGCCAAACCAGGTGCCAGAGTCAGTTAATCGGCCTCATGTTGAGTTCAAGCCATCTCATGATGGGATCTTCGGGTAAGCTTCTGGAGTTTAGGATGAGTACAGCCAGGGAGTAGCGATAAGCCTTGAGCACCATGTGGTTCGAGCAGTGAAAATAGCTACGGCAATAGACTATCTAGCGGAAGGCCTTATCACAATCATGAAAAGAGATGGCCAAAGACCTTGACGATATGTCAATTGGCTCACTTGTGATGCACTCCAGTTCGATGGAAGTGTTGGCCACGATTGAGCGAGCTGTCCCACGTACAGTTACCACAGTCCCTCATGTTATGACAAGTAGTTCAATACGCTAGGAACGTATCTACATAGTTGCCAATTTCACCTCTATCAAGCACATACGACCAAAGGTAGTGGAAAATACGGGATCCCGTCCGCTCTCCCATAGTCAAGCCACTAACCGGCGGATTAGTAGTTGGGTCGGTGACGACCAGCGAATCCCCGCTGTTGTATGTTTTTTGCATTTTTCGACAAGTAGAAGAGACGCTATTCATTTTGGGTGGACCTGAGTGGGACGGCGAGGGTCGATGTGGGGGGATGATATCGCAGTTGGAAGGACGCTAGAACTTTGGTACTACGGGATACATGGAGCATGGTAGGCTATGTCGAGAAAGGAATCGATAAACGAAATCACTGCAAGGTAATAGCGGACGTGAGTCAATTGGAGGGGATGTTCCAGCATGGTATCAAGTGGTCACGCTTCGGATGCCTGTCCAAGGGTATTGCAGCAAGACGCATCGCAATCAAGGATGCGTCTCGTCTGTTCAACGACTGCGACGCTCGAAGGAGGAAGATTGGGGCGAACGAACCGTACCGAGGCTTTGGACAGTAGGTAGGTAGCGTTGCGTTCGCCCATATACGCGTGCTGGTGATCGCAGGTGTATTCGGTCAAAAAGGGAATGGCGATGGTAACGATGAAGGGCGTGCTCAAGGTCGGGGATAGCTTGGTCAATGGAGGAAGACATGGCCGTTCGGGTATAGCACAATGGCTGGATCTGGAGTGTTGCTTAGCAAGTTAACGCGATAGCTCATACCGACCGCACTAAGTTCCCGCCTATTGTGGCCTCACAACAACGCCATAGCACAGTTCGGTATCATGCCAGAGAGGTATCATCGCGCCCATGTATCTGCTGCCGTCGGCATATCTGCGCATACTGGTAGGGGCCAGTCGGCGGCGGGCTCGTTCAGAGCATTCCGTCAATCATCAGCGCTGAACGCCCCGTCTTTCGTGCAATAGTAGGGGCCGGTAGATCGCGCAAGACTCTTGAGTGAGAAACAGCAAGGCAGGTGAGGCATGTATCAAGTGCGAACGATATCGGTCGATGAGGCGGGCGAGACATGGAAATGTGTCTTGGCCATCGCTTGATAGTTCAAGCTCTCGTCGCGTAGATCTTTGGCTCGCATCTCGAGCGGTGGCGCGCTGATGTCAGATTCGATGGCATCAAGTCAAGTGCCGACTGAGTATGGGAGGCGGTGTATCGCATCGTAATGCACGTCTTGAGCGACTGTTGCGGATGACCTGCGATGGTCCAAGTTGAGTCCAGAGCGCGTTGAGGAGATCCCCGGATTAATCTTGCCCCGCGCTGACTGAGTCAGGGAGCTTGGTTGACACTGTTACCCTGCAGCAACATTCAATTTCTGGAAGATTAATCGCCACAGAAGGTGTGGTATGACTTCAAGCTTAAGAATGTCTTAAGTAATCAGGGCCATTAGGTTTCATGTCGTGATTCGATAAAAATTACGCGAATACCTATTCAGGAGAGCAAGTTTACTGAAGCGTGACCTTTTTCGCATTCATTTGAGTCTGCACGATAAAGCTTATCGTAGATCTTCAGGGCTGAGGCAACAATCCCTGCTCCGTGTCACAGCACCTCATTCTGATTGGCCAGAAGCAAAAGCCCCGCTGTAGGCTTTCACGTCAGACGCGTCCAAAAGAACGACGTCATCGTTCCTCGCCAAGGTTTGCATCACGATCTCAAATTCGCCTGCAAAAGCGTCACTCACTTTGCGCCTCCATCACTAAACCCTTATTTCCCCATAAACACCTCGCCTCACCTCACCACACTCACCAATACAGCAAATAGTTCGATGGACTTTTCCTGCCACGTCCACATAAACAACGAATCCTCCCAGGATCTCCTCCTCGAAGACTCCGGCCTCGAAAGCGGAAACTGGCCATTACGTCAGCCCCTCAATGTAATCGAAGCCGGAACTCAACAGACCATCTACCTCGTCCAACCGAGCTGGGGAGGCTCAAAAGCATGGGTTACGTATGAAGCGAGATATGGACAGGGATGGAGGAATTTTACTCTCGAGTTTGAGTGTCCTGCTATGCCGTTTTCAAAGAACCATATTAAGGTGAAGGATTGCTCGAGGGTCTTTAAGATTGATGTTACGGATGTTCAGGAGCGGGGGAGTCCTTTGACTGGTTTGTTTTGAGCCTTGAGTCTCGTGAGTGTGCTGACGGGGTTAGCGAATGTAACGATCCGAATGGACTCCAAGAAGTCTATAAATACTAAGAACGATGATATCCGAGCAAACTACGACATCGGCGTCGGCGTCTCATTCCCTACGAAAATGGACATAAAATTCCCCGTTCACGAAAGCATCGTAGTAGCAGCTTTTATCGAATCCGACATGACATTCCCCCGTGGCACAGTCTACAACAACATCAACGACAAGCAATGGGAGTTTTTCCGCGGTGTAGTCTGGAACGACGATCCCTCCTGTCTACTCTTCGAGGATGTCACCGAAGATAATCGCATGTTTGGCTTAGGTGTTGAGTGGTTAAATGCGTTCAAATTTGGCGATGAGAAATGCATGACCAAGCGATCACATATGGGAGATCTTCAGTTCTTTCATGGTATGGGCTCAGTAATGGGTGAGAAACCGCAGGAGACGCGGAAGAATATCCTTACGTGGATGGAGGTCATGTACAAGCTTGCATGCGGTGATCAAGGCGTCTCAGAAGACGACACCCTCGACGACGTCCTACCCGGCTTCTTCACCAAAGAAACCGTCCCCTCAAAATCCTCCAGCCTCCGCGATCTAATCCTCGCCACAACACCAAAATACAAAGCCGCCGACATCCGCAAACGCGCATTCGGCATCTGTCTCCACATGATCTCCGACTCCTACGCCCTAGGCCACACGCAACGCCGTCTCCGCAACCCCTCCGATCTAATCGAGCGCGACACAGCAGGCTACATCCGCTTCAAACCCGACACCTACGGCGACTGGGGCTCTATTATTTGCTTCCACGCATACAACGACCAAGACGGTGATCGTCACTCTCACTATGATGATAAAGACGGTGAACAAGATCCTGCGCCGAGAGATGTTACGACGTTTAATGAGATTGTTGGTGCGAGGAATGCTATCGTGGGGTGTACGGAGATGATTAATTTGTTTATCAAGAAGACGCCTTGGAAGAAGGGTGTGAAGAAGTTTCTGGAGGATGAGATTTTTGTTCTGGATAGGGATGTTAAACCCTCTGATCATTTTACTGATGAGAGTGTTGTATCGTATGTTTATGCGCAGAGGGATGAGGAGAGTGAGTATCGGGCTGGGCTGGAGAGAAAGCTCGCCTCTTTGGAGGAGGGTGGACTGAGTGTTGCGCCGAAGAAGTGCGATGGAAGGTCAAGGGCTGCTTTAGTGTTGGCGATGCTGTGTCTTTTCATCAGCGCCACCTTCTTCACGTTCTTTACGATGAAGATTCACGGACTTGTGTGTTAAGAGAACGAATGGGAATGGTTTAGGATTGAGGGCACAGGGACAAGTTGGGTTATTGTATAACGGCAATGGTTGGGATAGCGTTGTATTTATCATTATACCACTCCAAAATTGATAATTTGTAATACCGCAATCCAATGTCTGCTAGATGTATCGTGTTTGCACCTGTCTGGTTGAGGGCAATGACATGAAGGCGACGCCAGTTGAAGGCCAGTGTGATTGTCGATCTTCACCACCCGCTGCGACCACCTTCTGCGCCGTCTTGTAAAAATTCATAAGTGATCTTGCTCTATATGAGACGTTTTGGATGCTCGACTCATCAATCAGAGATCACAAAACGATCATAGCCGATCTCTGCCACCTGCTTGTCTATACCCGTTGCAATTGTTTTGATGATTCAAATGATCAAACAAAGCGTTCAGCCTCTTTTCCCATAAAGAGCTGGCTTGCCTCTTCGATCAGTCCATTCTCTGATAGACTTGGGTGGTTGTACGAGAGTGAACCGTCCTCGTCTTGGGGGTGGGTTAGATGATGTCGTCCAGCAGTCGATGTTCACTGGTCGTGCTGGGATGGGAACCCTGGTGGTTGGGTCATGGTCTGAGCGGCAAGAAACCATGATGTAAGAGAGTTTTTTTAAGAGAGAAAGGTTGTGCGGGAAGCTTTGCACGAAAGGACTTCTAGGAGAAGACTGGGGGAAGTGATGCTTGAGGAATGATCTCATTGATGAACTGGCAAAGGGTTGGGCCGCCAGGCCAGTGAAGTCACGTACCATTCTTTTATATCCAAGAGAAATAAAGTTTGTTACCTGTTGAGTCAAGCACAATGACCAAGTTCTCTTTGTAAGCTCAACAACATCTTGGGTAAAAAGGTGTTCTGAATGAAGATCTCTTTTTGTATGTTTGTATGGTGAAGTTATCGCCGCTGGAACTCACTCTCATTAGTCAGAGCCTCGAAGTCAAATGCTGAACTCAAGCTTGATCCAATGAGAGACTTCGCCAAGTGTCAATAAATAAAGCATGTTAAGGCTGTGTGAATGGTCTGGTCCAGTGACTGATCACTGATTCGTATTGTCACCAATTGCAGCAGATTCTTTGTTAACAGCAGAGACAAAGAGGTGTGATACGATAGCCTCTTGTTATGTTTCCTTCTGCTCAAGACAGAAAGGCTGACGGACCCCAACAGACTGCAAAAACAGAAATAGAGAGGAAAGAACTCAAAAACCTTTATAACTATCGAAACGGCACTGCAGTGACAAACAAGCAAAAAGACAATTGGTGAAAACACGAAAAAGAATGGGCTCCACCGGGGATTGAACCCGGGACCTCTCGCACCCAAAGCGAGAATCATACCTCTAGACCATGAAGCCGATTTTAGTTTCTTGTTAATAAGCAGTCTCAAAAGTGAATATATATACCCGGAGCATTTTAGTGTCCTAGCACCGACAACGCCGCGATAATTGAAACATCTACCAACGTGGATCTTCTCAGTGCATAAACCGTAGCCAGACATAAACTAATGTCTGCCCTGAGACCGAAGTTTGTTACTTGCTAAGTCTCTTTCCCGTTGAAACACGATAGCCGCGGATTCCCGAGCTCTGGATCAACCGGCACGCCAAGATTTGTATCTCACCATCAGGGTCAACACCATATCATATGCATCATCTATCGCGAGTCATCTATCACAAAAGCTGCACCTCTTGGCCACCTGCATATGTCAAAGATCACCCGGCAGTTATTATTCGGACCACTCTTTTAGTCACCGATCACATCTCGCACAAAACATCCTCATCACCTGATGTCTTCCTCAAACCCGAAAGCAGCGTATGTAGCCATCAAATACAAAAGCACCTTCCCGATTAACCTTCGCTTAAGCACAAAGTTATAGATCCAGACATTATAGCGCAGATCAAGCGTCACGAATGCCCCAATCAAGCAAACTACGGTGCAAGCATACTACCGTTGTATTCATCGTTAATATCTCTTGCATATACTGTCGGGGAGCGCGCCTCCGCCAAGATGAGACAAACTCTATTAATCCTTTATTCTTGGCGTTGATCTTTAACTGGAATGGTTTGAATCCCGTTATCAGCCACAAAATGCTGTCTACCGATTGGTCCATCATGTTGACATCCTTGTATGCGTTCGTCAAGGCTCTGCGGGATACCGGCAGCAACCCCAGTTATCAGCGCGGCAATTGCGACGAACTCCATACCTTTTCGTTGCTAAGACTTGTCTGTTTCAAGAGAAGCAGGTGCAGAACCTCAATCCAATTATGGATATTGCACACAAAAATGATAAAAGCCACGTTGCCGAGACAAGGATCTTGATTGGGGTTCAGCCTGATAAGAACTGCAAAGCCATTATTCGCATGGTCCTAAATGTAACGTTAAGAAATACTCGAGTCAGTCAACGTTGAAGTTTCCCAATGTAGATGTGCTAGGTAGTCAAGATGAAACACGGCAATTCGAGGACAAGACGGTAATACCGGCACCACCTGATTCTACTCTTTAACCTTTCCATCAATAGCCTCAACCTTGACATTAGTATCAAAAGGAGGCGAATACCCAGAATAAAAACGGCGACGTCGTCATCCTATTTCCTAAAACTAAGCATAATCCGAAACTTAATTAGATACCAAGACTCCCGCTCGCAACACGAGGTTCAAAACATCCCTGAAGACCCGCCTCGTTTCGGACGAGTTGCCCCCTGATAATCGTAGCCGAACCCGCTGTATAAACTGGGGAATGCAACGAATATGTCCCACCGCTATTCACGAGGTTATTCTGTTAGATTTGTATAATGATTTGCATTGCCGTAGTGTTTAAAAACCCCCATGTCTCGCTCATTTCTCCGTTGCTTATGTTTTGTCAAAAGTGGCCGTGTCTTTATTAGGTTTCGTGCAATGGAGGTTGACCCTTTGGTAGTTGCTATCTTTGGCCCACCGCCAGAAGGGATAGATCTCTCGGCTAATAGTGAGGCTAAGAATGCTGCTGTTGTTCTTACCTTGTTGCTTGTCTCTGCTTTGTTTTTGGCTGGACGCATTGTGATTAGGACTCAGCAGGTTTATGGGTTGAGTCTTGATGACTACGCGATTATCGTATCGTGGGTTTTTGTTGCTGCTACTGGGGCCATGGTAGTAGTTGGTAAGTCAATTGGTTCCTTTGATTGGTAATTACTAATATTGTCAGTTGGCCAAGCTGGTGCGGGTAAACATGTCTGGGCACTCACATTAGATGACATGGTCGAGGTATCCAAGGTTTGTGACCCCAATTCATAGTATTGATTACATACTAACGCAGCCAGCTCTCATACATATACAGTTATCTCTTCGCAATTTCCGTCTTCACAACAAAAGTATCGATCCTCCTCTTCTACCGACGAATATTTAGCCGCGGCGGCCTCTCATTCCGGATTGCCTTTTGGTTCGGCACTGTCCTCGTGGCATCATATCCAGTAATATTCCTCTTCACCATGATCTTTTGCTGTACGCCTTTGCCCCACTATTGGACACAGTTTAGGGGAACAGAGGGGACATGCATCGACGTTGGCCATTTCTTCGTCATCTTGGCCATTATTAATCTCATCACCAACGTCATTGTGCTATTGATCCCGGTGCCTGAAGTGCTCAAACTTCAAATGAGTAGAGAGAAGAAGGGAGCTGTGTTTGGCATCTTGGCGCTTGGAGGCTTGTAAGTCAGAGCGACTGTTTGTCTCCAGAATATTACTGACGCTACGCAGAGTCTGCATCGCCAGTGCTGTACGCGTGTACTATCTAGACGTCTTCTCCAAAGCCGCCGACAACACATGGGCCATGGGCACCGTAGCCATATGGTCCTCCGTCGAGCCATCAATGGGCATCGTATCAGCCTGCTTACCCAGCTTCAAGTCTTTCTTGCGATACCTGCGCCGCAAAGGCGGTAGTAAAAGCAGATCAAGTTTCCCAACCATCTCCAACGGAGGAAAAGGAAACAGACTACGATTTGATGATGAGATTGCTTTGAGAAGTCAAATAGTCGGAGGTGAGGGAAGTATGCATAGTGGACAGGGAAGTGAGGCTGGAAGACAGATTTATGTCAAGACGGATGTTGAGCAGGTCATTACTGAGATACCCGAGGCGATGAGGCGAAGCAATGTTTGAAGTGATACCAATTGAGCGTCTTACTGTTTTTTACTGCGTGTTACATATCTATGAGCTATCGAAGATATACGTTAATGGAAGTTTGTGACTTTCGAAGCACTGATACTTTATGTGCGGAGATAGCTAGTGTAGACACAGTCTCAGTATCCCCTTGCGTGCTTACCTCTGTCCTAAGCCCCATATGCGTAACGATCAAGTCAGAATTTAGAAACATTCGCTCGCCCAACATCGATCCCAAACCTGCCAACAGTCCTTTGGCCTTTCTGTGCCTCGTTGCTTGGAGGATCTGTATCTCCAAATGTACTCGTATCACCATCTGACTCCTCCACCGAAGCTCCTTCTTTCTGCCACCACCCAAGACTAAACACCCAGCCATCAAAAGCCTGCTTCAGCTGTCCATCAGTCATGTACTCAGCTCCTCTTGGTATGATACCTGAATCATGAGCGCATAACTGAGATCCAGCAAGGAAGGCCATGGTGCTTGCGATACTGCATGGATTCCGCGGAAGTGTCCGTCGATTTTGACAAGGAGATAGCTTGTCAGGTTCAGAACTGCTATAACAGCCAGCAGTATCTGGAGAATCAGCTTCGAGGTCGAGTCGATTGCAAGGCGCGTCACTTGTCCAAATTCTGTCCCCGTTATCGTAGTGTGAGCCGATAAAGGTTTCGCAGCCGAACGGTCGCCTTCCGAAGAAACGAGTTCGTCAAGTGTGGTATTCGTGTATGCCCGGAAGTTGAGGTTGATGACATGCCTCATATACTCACTGTAGTCTTTCTCAATAGCCTTTACTAAAGCATCAATGTTTTCAGGCACGTGAAGATCCTCGAATTTCCTTCCATCTGGTCGATGTAGTAACTGGTCGAAGAAGGAATCAAGGGACCACCCGGTTTGGCCGTGAAAGAAAGCCAGGTAGTGTCGGAAGTGGCCTTCGAGGCTATATCCCAATGCTTCTGACTTGGATGTCCCATTTAACACCTCCACGCCTTGTCTCTGCTTACTTCTGGGGGGTGCCTCTCACTGATCTGCCCCAGCGCGTGGTTTCCTCTGTACGTGACACGCACTGGGATCTGCTCAATGCCCTGGGAACAGACTAATGCAGTTAAGTTGTTCCACTGGGAGGTATCAAGACCCCCTATAGTACCAAACAATATGCCGATCGAAGGACAAGAAGAACTTGAATTCGACTTGTTAGCATCTAAGTCGAAGTATCTGCCAACCGATTTCGTTGAGTTGAGGAAGTCCTTTGATGCTGTCTCTTGGAACCCGAACGACGTGTTGCCCACGTATCGGAATTGACCTCTACATCCTCCCTGAGGTACGTAGAATGCACGAATAGTTTCAATATAATATTCTGGGACGTTGTATTGAGATCTTTCCACCGTCCTGATGTGATTGGTCTTTGGAATTACACTGCACTCGAGTAACGGCCTCAAAGCTCCCACAGTGTAAATGTACTTAGAAGTGCGGGCCAGACCCTTTTGCGCCAAAGAATCAGACGTAACTAGACTAACATCCGGTAGCACCAAGTCTTGCCATATCCTTGTAGGTGTGATGGTACCACCGTGTCGAATAAGATTGAGATTAATTCCTGCACCTCCATCGTCAAGAGCTTGGGTAGGCTAAGACGTACACTAATTTCGGACCATCGCTGAAGATGGCTTTTCAATAGTAGCAGGCCCAATACGTATCCAAAGTCCAGACACAATAATTGTCAAGAAGCTGCTTAAGAGTGAGGACACATTCGAAGCGGCTGGACTAAGCTGTCGCCTCTGAATCAACTTGATGGCTGTTAAGAATGGGGATACCGAGAGCAAGTAGAGCAGCAGACTTCTCTCAGCTTGGACATTGCCTAACCTTAGACTGCTGAAGGGAGCAAAGGTTGCTATAGTAAAGTCAAAGTTGTTGATAAGTGTCGCTATAGAAAAAGCAGCCGCTGTGGATGACAGGCGCACAACATATAACATGGCAATTGAGTCTGTCTCAGGTATATCGAAAAGGCCGTCTCTCTTATTGTATAGTCGGTGAAGGAGTTCAAGAGCAATGATGGCAAGGATAGGACTGAAAAGTGTCACCACAACGAAATACAGCCGTCCAGAAACGGGAGCCCATGGCTTCCTCACCGTTGACTTCTCGTGATGAGACACTTTGATAGAAGGTTGGCTTCTGTCGACAAGATTGATGGAGAAAACTCGATCCGAACCTACTGAAGCAGTGGAAAGAGTTGCATTTAGCTCTTCAGATTTCTCCTTGTCACTGAAGTCACCCAAGACCTGCAAAGCCTCTTGCAGTGGTCGACTGTTGACTAATACAGCAGCATGGCCGGCAATAGAGCCGTACATAGCAGGGACCCAAAGGCCATTCACAGGTGTGAAGAGTAAAAGAAGACAAAGAATCGCTAGGACAGTGAAGCCCGAAGCCATGATCCAGAAAGCCTCATTCTTCGTATGGAGCCTGATTTCACTAACACGACCTTCAGCAGTCCCGTTTGAAGCTTTGCTCACGAGCAATGACGCCCGCGCAAACTCATCAAGGAGTCCTGAAAGAACGACAATTGATGTGTTGAGAAGTACAGAAGGCTTTAGAAAGACACCAGGCTCAAATTGGTTTCCTAACTTGCCTGCCAGCAGTTGAAATAATGAATCCGTAGTGTGCCAACCATTGAAGATCAGGGAGGAGGTAAGAGGCGTGACGTCCTTGTTAACAACGAGTGCTTCAAACACGTCGTTAAGTTCAGTCAGAATCATCTCAGCTAGCGAAGAGTTTGTCAAATTGTTTAATGACCTTGTCTCTCCGTCATTTTCCGTAAAGGCCAAGGAAACGTCGTGCGAGGGATTTCATATGTTGTAGTAGCAGGTGCAATATTGTATCCGATTTTGCAGATCACCGCAGCTCCATCCACAAAACTTGACGGCCTTGGAAGTATTATGTCGTGCGTAGTCCATGTCGAGCAAGTAGTAGAATTCCAGTAATATTGCATATCTGCAACATCAGCCGGCAAGTCAACAAACAAATTTGCTTGTTCGCAATCGACTATCGGCAGAAACGCATCCACAGACGCTTTGAGCGATGTCATGTTTAGTGTTGACACTGCTGGAGCGAAGCGCTGAGTGACTCTGCCATCTCGAACGTTCCAGTCAGAGTCATTCGCTACGGCGCTGTTGGTCCGTGCAAGGTAGTTCCAGATGAACTTGTCAGAGCCTCCATAGAGGTCGTAGCCGTCTAATGACGGGTATTTGGCAGGGTTGAACGGTGGCCAGGACCAGGCATTGGCTGCATCAAAGGTATCTTGGTATGTGATGTGTGATGTCACAGAATGTGACGAAGCATGAACCAAAAACAGAGTCGTAGATACCAAAATAATAGCCTTGAGGAGGAAGAATGAGAGGATTGTTGGAATAATGCGGTAGTGCCTAAACTTATATGCTTGGTATATGCTCTGCAGCTGAAACGGTGACACATAGTCTAGCAAAAGCGATCTAGAACCGAGTGCAGGTCCGGACTGAAGTTCTCTCCATGGCTCGGAAGCCTTGTAATAGTAGTCGAACCGTCTCCAAAAGCTCAAAACAATAACGAGCATAGCTGTCGGGCCATACGTCCAAGAGTACTCGCTGGAGGAAAGTTCGAGCGGGAAGCCATCTTGAGCATCGGAAACGCATTTAAGAGCAGTAAGAGAGGCGGCAAAGGTAGTAAATACGACAGCAAATATGAGCAATGCAAATTTACTCAGTTAAAACGGTGGCTGGGTTGTTTTCTGCTGGCCGATACTGGGGTTAGATACCTCCTCTTGGGGGGATGTGCCAGGAAATGGCTCGTTTTCAGTATAGTCTTGCTCAAGCTGAAGATACGGGCTCTCTGGCGTTATATCCATTGTTGGGAAAGCCATGGCATAATATGATTGGTTATTGTGAGATACAGATATCCTGCGAACAGTAGATTGTCACAGCACATTGTCCAAACCCTCAGCATGATATTTATCGCTTCGAAGAGCCCAGCCCGACGTTTCACGGCCGCACGGCGAGGTAAGCAGAGAACCTGACACAGAAGGGGCAATGTTGTCGGGCGTCACAGGGCTTATCGTTCGTGCCCCGTTTGCTTATCCAATTGCAGCTTATTGCCCGGATTCTTGCTTCACATAGCGCGAAAAGAGGATTTGATAAGCCATTTATAGACGAATGAAGGGACGATTTAATATGGAATTTAGGAAAAGATAATTTCTGTAGACTGAAGCATGGGCATTAACCTACCTATAGGGCAATCCTGACATGTCTTAGGCTTCATATTTCTCAACGGCGACTGGAGATGAGGGGACTTGTCAGCCGCGTATTACACAAACAATTAGTCCGGTCACACAAGGCTGACTGTATCATCATCTGTAACATACACTGGGCGTTACGTGCTACACAAATATGCAACTATGGGCAGAATACGATAATTGACCTTGGAAATTTAGTGGCTGAGCATGCTAATAATAGAATCTTAACCTCTACATATCTAAAACCATACAAGAGTTTGCGGACACCCCCCAAATCAGCTGTCAGAAACCGTTACCAAAAGATTGGAAGGTCAACAGTTGTTTTCCAATCCATGTTTGACTCTTTCAACTCTATCCGGTCAATGCAAGTGCCAAAAACCTTATCCCACAAGCGAGTCTGTTTGCCATAGTTACCGCTCGTCTTCCAGCCCTTCCGGTGGTGAAGATCGTGGTCTTCAATTACAAGCTCAGCGTCAAGGAGACGTAGGAGCCAGCTAAGAGTGCCGGGCGGTGATGTGTAGACACGCAGGCCGCTATGGCCACCCAGCTCGGTAAACATGACGTACTGGTGGCATATCCACCACTCGTAGAAGCCCATGGGAAGACCTAGAAACTTCAAAGAGAAATAGGTCATGAGTGGGATGACGGCGATGTCGAATATCTCCTGTTCGAAATCGGCGTACAGTGTCAGAAGTGGGTTTGGGTGCTTGGTCAAGTGATGGGTGCGGTGGTACTTCCAGAGACTGCCGACCTCGTGCATGAGTCTATGGTACCAGTAGAACCAAAAGTCTAGCACGATGCCGTACAGGCCAATCTCCAGTGGCAGCCAAAGCCAACTAATGGATGAAGGAGCCTGGGCGGTGCGGTAGCTGAGGAATACAGTAAAGACAGGGCGAAAGCTAGATGTGGCTATGAGACTCTTCACGACCTTGGTGACGCCAACATCAGGCACCCCATCCCTCTCATGTACATCACCATCCAAAAAGCCCGTCTGGTGGCCTACTCGTCGTAGAGCATGCAGTAGGTGCACCGCAGCAACCTTGAAGGCGACACTGTAGAAGACAAAGGCTTGGATGGGTGTAAGGTTCTGGCCAGTGTATACGACATAGGCGTGATGTATGGCCATCGGGACGAGTGAATGCACCAGCACCCAACGGTGCAACTGCCACTCTGGTGTGTATGGCACTTTGTCTCCTTTCTGATGCACAGGCAAGTCTTTATCCAGGGCGACGTGGTGAATGCCCAGGATTTCGAAGAACCAGTGCGACAGTGTCCAGTTGCTTTTATCGGCTCGTCGCCAGGTGGACTTCATTGAGTCTTTGGGGTTCTGTCTCGACTTTACGCTGAGTGATGGATTTGCGTCAAGACGTGACAAGTTAGACTCGTACACGGCAGTTGAGGATCGTGAAGCCATTTTGCGTGTATTGTAACCAAAGACGAAGATGGGATTCGATTATCTTGTTACGTCGAGGAAGTTGGGTTTGGTCTTTATATAATTGATCATGATCGTTGGCTGCCACATGTAAACGGGCTAGTTACAACCTGCCATTTGGCTTGCTTGGTTTCTGTATTCTTAGTGGACTCCACCTCTGTCCCTTGACTACCGAATTAGCGAGTCAAGACTAGACTTACCGAGGTTCTGCAGATCATCAGTGCATACGTCAATAGACGTCCCTAATTCGGTACTGGTTTGCGATGGGGGAGGGGCATAAACGTTGGCTTGATTACGTGCCATGGTGCATAGACAAGCTGAATGTGTAATTCATCGCCTCTGGCATAAAATCTACCGATCTAATTTGCAATTGACTGCTCGAGAGCAGACTCCCTCGACAATAACAAGTACAAGATTTCCTTTCACCCTGATGGTAAAAGCCCTTTACCACGCAGTCATGACCTGAGCACGTTTGTGGTTGATCTAAGTATATCAGACACATGCTGAGATTCTTGTTACCCTTGCTACCCAGGTCTTTGGGTCCAGGCGCAACCCTGTCTGTCACGTCGTGATCGAACGTTCCAGTTGAAGCTTGGTCAGGCTATGTCACTTGACGTTATGTTCCACGTCATCCAAGCAACCCAAGATCTGATCTAGTAGTTACACCTACTACTATCCTAGAGGCATAGCACGTGTCAATTAAGCCAAGGAAATCGTGGGGCGTCATCTCATGCTTGAAAAGGGCGAAATAGAGTGCGCTCCATTGCGGGTACTAACAGTTCACATCGCAAGCTAAACTCAAATAGTACTCCGCTTCGGCTCACACTACCGACCACATGGTCCCACTACCGGGACTAGTACAGTACACAGTCACGGGGCAGAGGCAACATATTCCCAGTATTCCCCGAACCGGGCAACTGTCAAAGAGCCAGATGCTGCCGGGACAAATTCTGGGCCTGGCACGAAGAAGCTGGCCGTGGCTGGTTATGTGGCTAGGTTGCTACTGTATTCCCTGCTCCCGAGGCTGACAAATAACTTGTGTTCTATCTGTAAATCGCCGGAATAGAGTCACATGGAACCACACTTGAATCACCTTATCAAGGTTTGCCCAGATAACGAATGTTGAGTCCAAAGTACATACGTATCCCGGTTTACAGTCGTGCTGCTCCGCCAATCAGAAGTGCTGGAAAAAAGATGGAACGATATCCGGGACAGCTCCACTATCACTACACGTTCGTGACACGACTTCGCTCGTATTTCAGCCTTTGAGGGTTTTGAGCAACATGCCTTCTCTTGAGAGATTACCACCTGAAATTCTCCAAGAAGTTTGTAATCATCCACTAGGTACTGTTCGTGATGCTGACCGGGTGTAGATTGTGTCGTACCTCCACAATGGCTATGAGCGACATCGCTTCGGTGGATACGAGCCGCCCGTAGGTCAGCACGAGATAACAGGGATCAACCGACGCTCGTACTTGACGTCTCTGCGTGCCGTAAATCGTCTCTTCTGCCAGATCGTCACACCTATTCTCTTTCAGCACGCCATAATCTACTCCGGCAGTGTCATAACAAGATGGGGCATAACCGCCGTGACCAGCATGGGTATTACCGGCGCTGCGCGTCTTGTAAAACTATCAAAGGATCCTTCGCTTCGCAAAATCGTCCGCCGTCTGGAAATTTGCTTAAAAGTGCAGAGTGCGACTGACTTCCGAGATTACAAGCCTGCAGTTGAGGAGAAGGACAAGGACCTAGAGTACCTTGCACGATTAGGCGCCGTGATTCACAGTGCACTACCGAGATTTCCGAATCTCAAAGTTCTGAAGCTCAACTTTGAGGACATTCCTTACAATTACAGACAAGACTTTGATGACCCGGGTCAGGCCAGTTGTTCTTGGGTTCAGGACACTCAGAATTTCTTCGAGTCTCTATCAACCGCTATCTACAGATCCGGGCTCAAGAATCTGGTAGAGCTCGACCTCTCCTTACCTCTCGCGTATGACTTTGGGCATTTTCTTGGCGACGACGAAAATGGAGGACCTTACTCTCCAAAGACATTCTTCAAGCAGCTCAAGCGTCTGAGTGTTCACTATGGACACTGTACTGAGGACGGCGAAGACTTGGAATTTCGGTATGAACAACCTAATGACAAGTTCGATAAATACGTCCGACAGTTGCTACCACTCGCCACAAATCTGGATACCCTCAAGGTGAAGGGACCCGATGTATTGGTGCTTGATTCATCAGCACTAGAGCCCTTGAACCTGGAATTAGTCGACTTACAGAGCCTGTCCATAACAGGGGGAGCACTCACAGCTCTCTTCCAACGGTCTACAGCATTGCGAGAAGTTGTGCTCATGGGAGTCTACCTCGAATCCGGCACATGGGAAGAGATCCTCACAGCTTTGAGCAAAACAGCCATTTCGGCCTTCTATATCGAAACATGCGGTTATCAAAAAGAAGGCGATGCTCTACAGTACGTCCCAACTGATCGAAGCGATCAAGTCAACGGCGAAGACAGTTACATCGAGACAAATCGCACCGAGGATATCGACGCGTGTGAATTGGTGTTTGCGCGGGTCCATGAGAATATGCGCAAGATTTACGGGAGCAGATATGATCAAGCGGCAGCTGAGCGAAAGCGGAAAACTCAACACGATGATATTGTGAGAAAGACAGCCTCGCTGGGAGAGTTCTTCAGAAGGTTTATGGCGGAGATGTCTGATGAGGGTGACACTTCTGAGATGGATTCTTCTGAGGATGGGTCAAGTGTAGCTGAATTCCTAGAGCTTGCGTTTGGTCGTCGTCCTGGGGATACCTCTGATGACGATGATTCGGATAGTGGCTCTGATGGTGTTTCTTCAGATGTTGATTCGTCGGATTCAGGTCCATCTGACGATGAGTAGGTTGTCACTGTATATGAACTGCCTTAGCGGGGTATCATATTCCAGCATCTCGACGTATGGAGAGGCAAAAGCTTTGCAGGACTGTTTTCGGTGGATAAATAGATAGGATTCCGAGAGCAGCCTTCATGTACTTCGATTGTACTATCAATCATTGATTTAACGATCAAAACCTTCTTCACAACTAAAACATTACCAAACCAGCGCCAATAAGGATGCTAAACAGCACCGCAATAATAGAGAAAAGTCCACCACTTCTCAACAAACTCGAAGCCCCATTATCATCATCCTTTTTGTCATCATCAGCCTTTTTCTTATCGTCGTCCTTACCTCCATCCCCAGTCGGCTTCAAATCGGACTCCTTATATACAAGCTTGACAGCAGGAAAGTGTCTAACAACCGCAAGTTCTTCATACCGGAATCTTGTCTGAGTTTGCAAAACTGACATTGGCCAAATCGTTGAAGTTGGTTCCGCCGTTACCGCTGAGTACAGATATTGCGACACCTTGCTTCCTTCCACAGTGTAGACTGAGCGTATGGCGCTTGGGGGTAGGTATTTGTTGCATACTTCTGTATATGTTGCTGATTTTAAGGGCTCGATGGATGAGAAGCAGCCTCCCCTCTTTGCAGCAACCCAGCCACTGCGCAAGAATCAGACAACAAAAAGAGGTAAGCAAAAGAAGTGGGATATACCTGGGGCAGCAATATGCATTAAGACAGATTTGTTCCAGCGGCATATTTGGATCAGTAACAGACACGCCTGGCCGTGCACTCGTCGTCTGCGTAAAACCACCACTCCTCTCAACAGAACCTGTTTCGTTGCCATGCGCAAATGTGCCAGCTGGAGTCTAACCCTTGGGACAAGCTATACCAGGTGAGTAGTAGTCAATAGTGCCTTGACCTCCATGTTTATCCTAGTAGGTGATCTGTTTGTCATATGTGGAGCCAGATGGTAGACACTTTCCCATTGATGCAGTCTCACATGTCGGCGCTCCGTATGATATAGTTAAATTGTTGGGATGCGCGAAGATGATTTGATCTGTTGTTACTGTTATGCAGCTTGCGGGGGGCGTATACGTGGTTGTTAGTGGACCGTTGTTGGCGAATCCAATACCAAAGTATTCAGTGACAGTTGGATAGAGAATTCTAAGACGTTATTTTACAGTTGGCATTAATGGTCTTCGAAAATTGGGAAATAACTCAATGAGAACTCTTTAATGAGTGCCTGGCTGCTGCGCCTTACCATGCGGCGCAGTAACAAAGACCAATTGGAGAAGCTGTAGTCTCACCACTTGCTTATTTGAGCATGCTAAAAGCTCAAGAGATCCCCTGTTTATTGGTGGGATCTTAGACCTTACCATCTGACACTTGCAGCCGAGGCAGCCTGGGCATGCAACTTGTATTGGTGTAGTATCCTTTACCTGTCCGTCACACTTGGACTGATGGCCGAAATCACAGACTGCCTGAAATGTTCTTCTCATTTAGCTAGGGAAAGAAGAGAACCCAAGAAGACATGGGCTATTTTTTAAGGAATAGTTTAATGATAAACTGCCTAAGCTCGCCGCCATCGAGGCGCTCCAAATGGGGGGTCGGTTCTGATGAGCTAGCAGATTAAATCGCCACACACTAAGATTTGAGATTTGATGAGAGATTTCAGCTTGTGTGCAAAATCGGATCATGGCTTTTACGAGAACGAAACAACAAAAAAGCAATTCCATGGCTGCAACAAGCACTAGCTTGGGCAAAGAAGTCCTCATCAAAGAATACTAAGCAACGCCTGCGCATTCAACTCGACCTTGCAGAAGCTTATGCAGAAACAGAGCAGTCCACGAAGGCGACACAGCTCACTGAAAAGGCACTGGCATTTCAAGAGAAACACCTCCCGAAAGATGACAGCAGCTTGTTAGCGGTATCATGCGTTCTCGCAAAAAGCCATTGTTTCAACGGTGCGCCATGGACAAGTTGACACTTCTGGGCGAGCTTGGGAAATGCTACAACTACGCTGAAGACTATGAAAAGGCAGCCAAAAGCCTAGAGATGGGTATAGAAGCAGCGGAAGGTAAAATCGCAAAAGACGACCCAATTCTCATTGTCGTCAAGAACAACCTCGCCTATACTTATGAGCAGAAAGGTCAACACAAGAAAGCCATTTCTCTTCTGGAAGAGACTCTGCCCATCCAGAAGCAAATCCTAGGTAAACCACATTTCGAAACCCTCAAGATTCAGGTATACCTTAGCGAGCAATACCTGGAGATCAAAGAACTCACGAAGGCGATTTCGCTTTTGGAGGAACTTTTGCCTATTCAGAGGGCAGGTTCATAAGAAGACCATGTCTTCTGAGAATGATTTTGCAGAGGCTTATTTTGGGAATAAAATGTATATACAGCTTTGAAGTTGTATGAACACATGGTTTCTGTGCGTCAGAAGCATTTGGGTCAAGGCGATGAGCAGAGGAAGTGGGCGGAAGCGGGTTATAAGAAGTAAGTGTATTGAGACTTGGAAGTGGACTTGGACACGAAGATGATGCTATTGAAGAGCCAACATCTCATTCGTTTCAGGTAATATTTTTGGCTGGTTATGGGCATTGCGTTGTCACGATATGTCCTGGATTTATTATTCGCCCTTCCGTGCCTCGTCATGAGGTCTGTTGGTTGAGCCTTGCATACAATCCCTGTTAGCTTATTCCATTGCAGAAATTCGAGAAACCCCGCTTCTACAAATGTTTATGAGAGATACTAATAATCCCAGAAGTTAGCTTTTTTACCATCCCAGGGCCATATGCTATTATAAAGTTACTCTTTACAAATCATCATGCCATTCCGCTCTCTATATCTTGCCAAGTCCGGCGGAGGAACCAATCAACGCTCTCATTTCGCACTCTTCATCCCAAACGCAGAATACGATCGGGACACTATTAGTGAAGACTTCCAATCTCAAAAGGCCCTTGGTACAAGAATACACGTCGTCGGAGAACCTCTGATGTCAGGTTTTGCATTCGAGGTCCATAGGAATTACAATACCCAAGCCTACGCTGACCTAAAGCACTTGGTCTCTCTTGGGAAGATCGACGATTCAATTCTCTACGAGTGCCCAGAAACTATGGAAATGAGAGAGAATGCACCGAGAAGTATTATTGAACGACATGCAGAATCTGTAACTCCACCTCCCAAAGGACAAAACATACGTGCACCAATTGATAGGGTAAATAACCACTCACAAGAGACATAACGGTGACTAATGATTTCCATAATCAGGTGAATACAAAAAGATGTCAGGAATGGACGATGGAGGTTCTGAGCCTTCTGGTAGAGAAAGAGTTGATTCCTTCAGAAGCTGTGAGCATTGCGCAGAAGGAAAGAGATCCGCCAACTAAGGGCATTTTTGGCTATAAAAGCCAAGAAAAATAGCAACACGCGAGTTATCAGATGGAGGGAAGTCCATATTTCGGGGAGTCTCTTAACGTGTCTTAGTCTCTATCTCCTGATACTCAGTTTATATACAAATTGGCCATCAGGGGAGAGGCTCGTGACCTTTCGTTCCTTCCTTGGTCGCCGCTGCTGCTTTGAGCCTTCCCATTGCCAAAGGAAACAGTCTCCATGAATCGACATTGCTCTCTGTTGGGGTCCTTAGATATTCATAGGTCGGGGTTATGCCAGCCTTTTCGTATGTACAAAAGCCCAGGTTCTCAGCAGCTAAACTTGTAACCATATCTTCGACTTCAACTTCTTCGGTCTGTATGTCCTTGATGTAACGGGAAATGGTATGAAGATATGTTTTATCCTCATGTGGCATGCATAACTCTTGCGAGGGCCTCCTGAAGTCCACGTCAAAAAGATGTTCAATATCACTTCCTAATAGAGAGGGTATCACAGGTACAACGCGCTGAAACATCATTGGAGACGCAATGTCTTGCTCAAGATTGTCTTCTGTTACTTTTAGCCTCTGGAAGTATCGTAACTTGACTGAGGGATTGTCAATTTTCGAGAGGACATCCTGAGCTTGAAGACTTGCTAGCACACTGTCGGCAAGATTCCCACCAATCTTCGAGAGTAGATACAGTAGCAAGAACTGTAAGTTGACCTCGTAAACCACCAATAAGGAAAGGGTGCTTGATGTGTGGCTTAGGCTGTCGATAATAAGATTCGATGACAAAATCTCCATGTACCCAGTTTCAGAAAAGGAAGCAAACAATGCAACAGCTGCATTCAGATCCTGGCAAGTCGTCGCCATATGTATTGCAATTTCTAAAGTTCGGGAATGCTCAATGTCTCCATGGTCGAAGCCGTTTTGTGTTGAAATGAGAAAATATGTGAGAAGGTTGGTAAATGCTGTTCCTTTCATGACAAATGGCTCCATTTCCGAAGAATCACCAAGTACTCCATACTCGTGTGGATCCGCTCCAAGGACTATTAATGCGTCGAACATGCTTTTGCGCAGTTTGACATCAAGTCCCGAATACCATCCCTCTCGCAAAACACTGGTAGCCAGATGAGGCGAGGTTTCGGTTGTCAGACACGAGATAACGTAATCATCAAATAACTCATCGCTGATCAAGTGACTCAAGAACGATAACTGAGGTTCCCAAGGATATATGTAGTGTCTTAAAAGATGCTTGTTAAACAATGGCCGAATGACGTCGAGCATCTCGGTAGCCAATTGAAGGCCTTCGCTTCCCCGGCGTTTTGCAGGGTCGGTAATTTGGTTGATGATATGGGAGCTATCACATAGTAGGTCCCATTCGGATGCCAGAACTATCACCATGCAGATCAGACCTTTCAGAAGTCGGGTTTGCCAGGGAAAGTCGGACAATAAATCACATCGTAGAATGCCCTGGCCCGCTTCTGTGTCTGTCAGAAAGTCATGTGCTGTTCGATGAATGAATGCTACATTGCCAAAAGCCTGGCTAAAGGCGGTGCTATTGTCTCCCAACTTTTCAGAAAGGTTATGGTGAAGCTTTTGCGGCTGCACTTCAAGCAACCCTGCGCACCGACTGTGTATGGAAGCCTTTGTCTCATCGCACATTCGTAGAATCTCTGTGACTCCGATTGTACCCGTACCCGTCAGAAGGTTCTGTTGTATTCCAGTATTCTCGGCGCAGGCGATTTGTAGTGTCAATGGCAATGAAGCCCATCTCCACCGCAGAACAATCCCTATGCAAATGTCTTCATTTGAACTGTGCAGAACGTATCGAAAGTATCTGCGAGCTGTTTCCTGATAGACAGAGCTTTTTGCGTTAAACCTTTCCCACATATCGACGTACAGCTTCTCAAGATCTCCAGGAAGCTCGCGGAGCCGTGAAAAAAGTATTTTCTCAGAATCTTCATTCTCGATCCCCTCGATGATGCTTCGTGTAGCGAGATGAAGCCATAGAAATACACCTTGCGCTTTATCAACAAGCTGTTGACGCAAATCATTGAAAACCTTCAAAGAGATTTGACTATTCGGTAATAACTCACAGAACCTCTGTCGTACAAAGACAAACATATCGAATCTCGTCAAGTCCTCAAGCAGGATTCCAGCAGCCTTTGTCGCCTTGAGCCACCTCATGATTTGCGCCTCAGGTCGGGTTGAAACGCACAGTTTGGTTTTCGGAAGTCTTGATATAGACTGAATGGACGGGGCCAGCTTAGAAAAGCCATCTTGGTCCCGGATCTCATCTAGTCCATCGACAAAAATGCATATGTGTCGAGTATCCAAGTTCGCAACATAAACCCAGACAGCTTGCAAGTCCTTGATAGACCAATCGTGATATTCTGAATGTAGAGACAAGTGGCTGAAGTGCTGTAGAGTACTCAAAATTAAGTGCTGCTGACCTTGAAGTCTTTGGTAAAGCAGAGAGCACCAGAGACCTTTTATGCTGTTCTGCTCTTCTGACCCAATCTTCCAAAAGAAATAGGAGAGAATAGTCGCATCGGCGCTCCATCGTTTAGCCAAGTCATGAGTTTGGTTCTGGTCTAGGATGAATTTGACAAGTGTGCTTTTCCCGGAGCCAGGCTTGCCTTGGATATAGAACAATTGGTCATCTGATTGCAGCCATGAGTTGAAAGAAGTCCATGAGCGATGAATGGCATTCATATGAGAAATGCAATCTGAATTATCACAATCCTCTAGATCGGCATCATCCTCCAGATCGTCGCCTTCTGGATCGTCATCATCGTCTGAATATCCGTAATACATGTCTCTCATGTCTTCATAAGATGCGAATACTTGGTTAAAGCTTGCATCTCTTGAGTCCATGACATCGTTGTATCGCTGATTCATCCGTGGAGCTTTAAGGCTTTGAAGAAAGGTTTCGCATTTCTTCTCCGTCTCAGCAGCGATTCTGAGCTCCAGGACTTGGCTATCGGTGTGCGAGTTAATGGCTACCTCAACCCGGGTGGTTTCCTGAGTGATAGCGGTGCGTGTTGTAGAGTGCTCTTGCTTGACGAGATTTTGTACATCAGTAACACCTTGAGCGAGTTGGTTGACAAGGGACTGGACGTCGGTATCGAGCTTCTGGAACGCGGATTCCTGCTTGAGTCTGACAGCTTCGCTGCGCGAGCTGCAGGAGAGGTCATCAGTATATGTACGGACGTGATCGACAGTATACTTACCATAGATGAGATTTCAACTCGATGTCTATAAGCTGTTTATATCTGAATAGGGTTTTCTCAAGGTCCTCAAGCTTTTTCTTACGACGAGATGTCCTGAATGCCTTGCGAAACGCGTTGACAATGTCGCCTCTGGCCTGCAAGCTCGTCACGTAGCTAACTTCTGTCTCAAGCTTCTTGGCAGCAACCCTGCAATCCTGAGAAATATTTTTCAACTCTGGAGTGTTGAAGCTAGAATTCGTATTGTTCATTTGTCCACAGCGAGTGTTAACTCGCTCGACGGCTTCAGACATCTCCTTCGCGTGGCGATGGAGATCATCTTCAGAAGCTGTAGCTCCTTCGTATGCGTTCTTCAAGGCTACAGCGACGTCGGTTGCGAATGAAATGACTTGCAAAACTGCGCTCGCCGCGCCGAGTGCCTCAAAACCCGTAAGCATGACGATGTGTGCTCTCGAGGAATAACCTGACGCTCTGGAGTGAGGGGTAAAGAAAAAGAAAAGGACACAGCCTGATCAGGCTGTGCAGATTGATGTGTTGGGAAGAATCACGCTGACTAACCACGATATCCAGTAAGATATTGATGCCAATAATAGATATGCATGCACGGGAAAACCAGTTTTTGCGGTCTTATGCATCACGACTGGAGTTGCGTAAGTGGCTCAGATGATGATTTTCGTTCAATTCTGGCAAATTTGTACCGTCTATCTGAAACATTTATAAGTGATCCTCAACCCGAGCCTTTCGTCCTTCCATCTGCTCTACCAGGCTCGCCTTGTCTCAATGTAAGCCAAGTAACAGGATTCATCGCCAGATCGCATAGCTTCATATGTCGATAGATGATCTTCCCGTCAATATGCATGCCGCCGCGCGTGACCCTCAGAAACGGCTCCTTCTTTGCTGAAAAGCCCACGTTATATCCTTCAGCCACTTTAGCCCACTCTTGTATATTCTCTCCCTCCAAGGTGATCCAGTCTTCAGTTGCTCTCCATGTAATAGTAACATGGTCTTTCACAAGCTCATATCTGAACATGAAGGTATTGATCCCATCGCAACCCCATAATTCCAGAATCTGAAATTTTGGCAAACTCCGGACTGTAACGGCAGATATTTTCACGGCTCTATTGATATCATTTTGGTGGAACCGAAGGACGTCTTCGGAGAAATCTCCCCCAATTTGCAGACATAGCTGTGTCAGTTTTGATCGATTGCCAATTCGTGGCTCTCCAAGACACTAAATAAACCTCAGGTAGTTAGTACCCTCCGGCGGACAGAAGGAAACTAGCCCGTGAGCTTTCTTCGCTAGAGACTTCGGCAGTTTAAGTACTTCTTTTGTTCTGAGGTATTCGGACCCCGTTTGTGTTCTGGAAAATAGGTTGAAGGAGAAGTGTTGGATATGACGGGGAAGCACAAGAATAAATTCGTTCCAATCTAGCACCAAAGTCAGCTGACGAATCAGGAAAACGTACGCGGAGTCAAGGACTACTCACTAGGGGGGTTTTCTGGATATATATCTTCCGACGCATCATATTGACCTTGGAATTGTGGCTCTTCCAAACTTGATAAAACCTCCAATCGGAGAGAAGCGACATTTACCAAAGTTTTACACAAGAGCCGTGCCAAGCTCCTGGGGCCTACTCCTCGATGAAACTGATGACGTATCCAGAGGGTATGAACAATCGGGGCTGGCTTGGGATTTTCCTTTGTGCTTAGTTTAAGCGTTGTTCCACGGAGTCGCTGCAACCTTTCCATGGTTCTCGGCCTATGCCAGTTCTTGCCAAGCATGAGCATACCTCTAAACTCTTTGGTATCCATGAACTCTGTGATAGATGGCTGACTTGTCAAGTCCCCTTCAAGTTGGAATTTGCTATGTAGATCGTATTCCATTGATGCTTCGGGACAACAATCAATATCGCCAGGTGAGTAAGCTGTGATCTCGAATATCAACCCAGTGTCCCGATTATCAAGAGGTTTCCAGCGGCAGAGAACTTGGAACAGTTTCTTAAGCGAATGAGTAAATATCTGATTATTCCTTCTCAATAACGTTAGGCACCATAAAGACAAGAACTCCCATCAAACTCACCACTTTTTCGTATCACGACTCTCTACCTCATCGCATTGCGGATAATTATAGTTGCGAAGCTCGATTCTCAGGCATAGGTAGCGGATATACGATAGTCTCACGACCTTTTCTCCCTTGGTTGCTTCTGAGAAGAAGCCCAACTCAGAATCGTCGATCAGAAGGCGTCGAAAGGTAACTATTCGAAATAGTCTTGCCATTCTGAAGAGACGAAAACAAAACGAGTAAGATCTGTGTCTCGACAGTTCTCTTGTGGAACGACGTATCCAAAGATTTGCAGTCGAAGCTCTGCGGGGAGCGACGCCCATTCGTAGGTAATGGGCCTCCGTATGTCGCTGAATGATGAAGTCATGATAAGGGGTTGGTGTTTTCTTGTGATTTGGGAAGGAACAGGTCTGCGGCGGCTGGTGGTATTCATAGCAGATTAACTAGAACTGTATCTTAGCGATAGGCTTGTTTGACTGGGATGATTGTGTCAAGGATAGGTTGATTCTCTAGCTAGGTAAATCCTGAATGTCTTAATTGTGGTTGTGCCCCACCTGACCAACAATGACTCTTTTGATCAAGCAAGATTCAAGCGGAAATCTTTAGTGACGGGCACTGGAAGCGTTGATTGGAGCAAACCGAACTCTTTTCTCGTTTGACTTTCATCGCTTCCTCTTCGTGCAGTTTGAAAGTGAGTCAAGCTCAAAACTGTACACTGCAAAGGCGACTAAAATGTATGCCAGAGAATTAAAAGGAAGCATAGTGCTTTATTGACGGTTTAAACCCAGTGTCTCGACAGGGAATATGCCCTATCAGTTTCCCATCCCCTCAAGGTTACGGTGCCTTCTCCACACAGAAACAATCCAACTCATACCAGCTCCAAGACACAGAAACCCCGGTGCTGGCGTAGTCTCCATTCCAGAGCTCGCAAAAGCTATCGCCATGTGCGAATAGGCTGCATGTAGGATCGTCAATGCAGAACTGCACACATTCGTCGAGTGTATATGTTCCATCGATATCTTTGATATACGTTCCTGCTCCAGTGTATTGTTGGGAAACGCCACAGGAGGAGTCAGAGGGGAATCCACCGGGACATCTGGGAGCGGAGTTGGCGCTGGTGGTAGTCGTAGCAGCGGCAGTGGTGGTTTCAGTGCTTGAAATGAGTTCAGCAGAAGATGTCGTGGGCACCGTAGAAGATGTCTCGAGCCCCGTAGTAGCAGTGTCGGTGGCCAGGGATGTAGTATCTGTGATCGCCGTGGTAGCAGTGGCAGTTGCCGAGGTGGTAGACTCATCAGAGAGATCGCAGAAACAGTCCAAAGAGTACCAAGACCATGCGGTGTTGGAGCCATCGGTCTGTTTGACACTACCTCCCCAGAGATCACAAAAGACATCTGGCTGCACGGCAAAAGCAATACAGCCATCCGTGTCTCGACAGACCTCTCGACAGTGTGCCACCGTGGCATCAACAGTCAATGTGCTGAGATAGAGCATTTTTGGGTCTTGGCCAATGCCCCGGGTGTCACATAAAACATCAGCTGGAAACGGTGTCTTCTCATTGTTAACGCAAGAAGAGGCGGTCGAGCTGGGAGCGAGGGTCGTTTCGGTGGTGGTAGCCATGTCTCCAGAGATAGCTGTGCCTGTGGTTGAAGCTACGTGAATCACTGTAGACTCGGTCATGGTTGTAACAACCGATGAGGGCTTGCATGGTCCGGCCTGGACACCAGCAGCAAGAAGCCCAACAATAGCAACGATTCTAGGACCGATCATGTTGAAAGAATGGCAAGCTCTCAAGAGGGCAAGTAAGAGAGTGACGAGAATCGATTACGGGCAGAAGTTGAACGAGCTGGGTGTAACTGGAGTCTCGGCGCTTGCTATAAGTATGCCAATAGTCCAGACGGCTTTTATTGGAGGCTTGAAGCAATTTCCGCTGATTGTTCAGACGAACAGGCTAATTCAGGGGTTCTCTTCAGAGAACGAATCACACGTCTGCATTTTGTTGCAAGCTTCTTCGAGTTATTGTTCACTAGTGAGCTGGCTAAAATGGAAAGGTACAGCCTTTTGGGGGTCCTTGTCATTTTCGGGTACGCTAGCGTTGATAGTCTTGCTGACTGTTTCCACGACCTTAGTTGGGCACTCATACCCGCACAACCGGCTGTGCGTTTAGTATCACGTGTTTTTCGCACAACCGGTTATGCGGATAAGGCCACGTAAGCTTCGATAGTCAAATCCGCATAACTAGGAGACCATCAGTCAATTTATCTTCCTATTATATTTATATTACTAATAAAGTAATTACTAACTTTCTGCTTTATAATTTAACTTTATCTATATAATTAGTATTTAAATAAGTAATATTAAGCTCTTAGTCCTTTTTACTGCTAATAAATTAGTAAGATAGTGGCCTAATAATGTTCTTCCCCTAGAGGCATTATATCTATTATAAGAAGCCCTCCTTATAGATATTAATAAGTAACTAAAGGCTTAAGGATATGCCTTTATAATAAGGTATATAATATATATAGTAAATAAAAGACTATATATATACTTTAGCTATAACTGCAGTAAAGGTAAATATATACTAATTCCTAATTTTAAGAGGAAGAAGAAGTATATTACTTAATGTATAAAGTATAAATTCTCTATAATAAGAAAAGAAAGCCTCTATAAGAGTAAATAGAGTCTTTAATATTATCCTAATCCTTCTTACTCTTATTATAATTATAAGCTTACTATTAGAAGTAGTATTATATATATAACTTACTAAAAGCTCTTTAATAAAGATATCCTTATAGTTAAAAAGCTTACTCTTACTAGCGTTAAATAACGCTAAATTAAGACCTACTTACTGCAGAATATAAAGGTATTATTTATTAACTTAGATCTTATAAACTATATCTTTTAAGTAAAGTAAGACCTTACTAATAGATAGAGCTATATAATTACTCTGCTTTAATATCTCAATTTATAAGGCTTTTAGAGTTATTACCTTATTAAAAAGGACTTTTAATTATAGTTAGTTATATTTACTTATTTAGAATTACTTTAATTTACTAAGTTATACCTTAAGGTATTTATAATTAATTATACCTATAAGACTAATAAGTATAAGATGCCCCTCCTTAATATAGTTAGTATTAATACTATAGGGAGCACCTTCTATATTATATTTACATATCTTAGTAGTAAGGAAGAGGAGGACTTTACCTAGGCTCTTAAGGCGTTATAAGATTTATATAATACTAATAATATTCCTTATCCTTTAGTTATACTAACTAATTAATGCCTTACTTATATAAATGCTATTATATCCTTTTTCTGCTTTCTAGTATTAAAGGTTATGCTCTGCCTTTAATATATTAATAAAGCAGTCCTAACCTTCTATATAAGTGGCTTTATAAAGGGTAAGGATAATAAAGAGGGATAAGAGGTATAAAAGGAATTTTATAATAATTAGTATATACTTATAGCCTTAAAGTTATAGGCTATATATAATAAGAGACTAAAGGCCTTTTTACTTTAGTATACTTATTTATATTTAAAGAAGGTAGATTACCTTCTCTTAACCTGGCTAAACCCTTATAAAGGTAAGTTTATTAAGGTATTTATAAATAAGTATTTATATCTAAACTAATTTATTATATCTTAAGTAAAAGGTATTTATTCCTTACTTAAATCTTATTTAAAAAGCTTTAAGGCTAACCTCTTTAAGGCTTTTTAAATTATTAAGCTAGTAATTATAAACTAGCTAATTATATTAAAATCTGCATAAGCTCTTAAATAAGCAATAAGACCTACTTAGCATGCTTAGATATTATTAAGAGCTCTATATAGCTAAGTCTGCAGTTAGATATCTTATAAGGCATTAATTATAATTAATTTGCAGTAAGAATAAATAGGAGAAAGTCTCCCTTAATATACTAGGAGTTTTTTAAAGACTATAGGTATACCTTATACTTATGCCCTTATGCTATTAATTTAGGAAAATAAGCCCTTATTAATAAGCTATTTCTATTTATATTAATATCTCTAGCAATCTAGGATACTACTGCTAATATTTAAGCCTTATAAAGTTAATAATTACTATATAGCCTTAAAGTTATAGCTAGCATTAAGTATATAGCGAGATTTATATATATTTAAAGGAGTTAAAAAGGCATTACTTCCCTTAATGCCTAGGAAGCTATAGACCTGCTCTTAATATTATAAGTAAGATTATAATAGAAACTTAAGGCTATGCCCTAAGAAGTATATTAAAATAGCAGCAGAGCTTAATAATATAGAGAGAGAATAAGATCTTATTATAAAGGAGGTTATAGTTATAAATATATAAAGCAGGTCTATATCTCCTACTATTGCTATAGCCTTAATACTATAAATAATCCTAACCCTAACCTACTATTACCTTTAAGAGCCTATATATTAAGTATATATAAAGTATAAGGAATCTTATAAGGCATGGTTTAACTAGCAGCCCCCTAGTACCTCTCTTACTAACTATACTTTTAGAGAAGCTATTAGACTGCCTTTAGAGTATAATGCAGTTAGGTATTAGTAGTGCTAGAGGTTAGAGCAGATAGGGCCCTTTATTAAGCTTTATAATAGCTTTAAACTAAGAAATTAGATATTAGAGGAGATATATAGCTAGCTTAATAATAATAATAGATTTAATAATAATGCTAATTAACTAAAAATACAGCTTTTAAGAGCAGAAGGCCCTAGCTATATATCCTGGCAAGGACTTATAAGTTATATATTATTATAGCTGCGGCAGGGAGGCGATCTAATTCTCCTAGCAAGATAACTAAGCAGTTAGGCAGCCTGATGCTAAATAAGATATAAAGGGATAATAGTTAATTAGGAGATATATATAGATAAAGCGAATTTCGATAAATTTAATAATATAATTATTATTACTTAATAGTAGCTTTTTGTAATTAAAGTGCCTCTTTTTATTTTATAGTATTTATAATAATTAAGAGTTAGTAAAGTTAGAGTATATAAAATTATTAATCCTTATAAATTAATTATCTTAATTAGAATACCTATATTTATAACTAGCTACTTATGCCTAAGTAGGATAATATATATATTATTAAATTAAGAAAAAAAAGCTAAATTAATTAATATATATCTTAATACCTTAATCTGCTAGATTCTAATATTATTAATAAGTAAGAAGATAATATAAAATTAAATATAGAGAATTAAATTGCATATATATAAGTAAATAAATTAAATAAAGGAATTATATATTTCTCTTTAAGTAAATTATAACCTTAATAAAGTAAATAATATTAATATAGCAAGAGATTTAAACTAGTATATATACTACTAAATATATATAAGAAAGTAACCTTAAATATCCTTAATTCCCCTTACTATCTGCCTATTTAAGTCTATATAATATACCCTTATAGATTAACTAAATTAATATATATACTATTCTGCTAGGCTACTTATAAAGTTAGTATATATATAGTTATTTTAACTACAGGCATAGGCTATATTATAGTAAGGATTAGAGGCCCTGCTTAATATACTATATCTTACTATTATAGCATTTAAGCTATTTAGAAAGGTATAATATTAGAGACTAGTTAAGCTAACTATTAGTTAACTATATTATAAAGCTAGCTAGTATACTAGTTTCCCTTAATGCTATATTTCTAATTCTATATTACTATAGTTACTAGAGCCCTAGCAGGAATAAAGCTAGTATTATATACTATATATAGCTATGCTAGCATTAGGAGACTTATATTTATATTAGCTCTTAAGGGAGCATTTTAGGCTATCTAACTATTAGTATTAAATATATTATATACTAGCTATTATACTTCTAGATTCTCTTAGCTATAAAGAACAAGACTAGGGATAAAGGGAAAGAAGCTAGCTGCCTTATATACCCTTTAGCTAGTCCTTAAGTTATTTATAATAAGGGCAGGCTATAAGATAAATTAGTTATTTTAGTTTAAAGGAATAGTATAAAGAATAGTTTAAGTATTATTCTTAAAGATCTTAAAGTTATTATTATTATTATTATTAAGAGCTATTATTAAAGAGATAGAAACTATATAAGCTTAAAGACTTATAAGTTATTAGATTATTTAATATCTTAAAGGAAGATAAAGTATTAAGGAGGGAAGATAAAGAATTTAGCTTTTAATTTATATATTTATTTATTAATTAAATTACTACTATATTAAATACTTCTTATATAGATTAAGAGTAATAGAAGAATTATCTATATAGTATAACTAAAAGCATAATAATAAATATCCTATATATAGTATCTCCCTTTATTAATTTAAGTTAAGAAAAAGAGGTTATATACTATTTATTACAACCTTAGCAGTTATGTTATATATACCTTATAAAAACTCTACCTTAATAACTAACTAGATAAGGACTAATAAGTATAGGAATAATAGCGCTCTAGGACTGCATTATTCCAGGACTAATAATAACCTTATATTATATTACTCCTATATAACTACCTTTAGTATATAGAATATATTTATTAGCACTTTTATAAAACTTAGCTTACTAGCTATTAATAAAGTATTTTTATATTAATAAGCCTAATATATATTACTTAATTATTAAGAGATATAATACTTTATAATACTTAGTATTATGCCTTATATAATCTATAAATATAAACCTAATATAGACTAGTTTACCTATTTAAAAAACCTAACTATTATATATTAATAGCTCTTATTTAAACTATACTATATAATGCTAAGTAATACTAATATAATAAT